ACCAAGAGATTCTTCCAACTAAGTAATACGTTTAATTGTATCCACTTAACTTAAGCTTGAGATGCCCGATATAATTAATGCGTCAAAACAATTTATTTTGGTGATTTGATATTTAATACCAAGACAATGTATACAAAGGATTTCTTACGTGTTTTTGAATTAAATGCTTAAGAATGACTTAAGCTTCTCCTTGATTACGTATCTCATTAGTATTTTGTAAAATTCCCTGGTCGTTTACTCTGCATCCAATGATGGGAGTCCCGTGTTTGGTGTTATAACCATATACTATCCAAACAGGGATTCGGAAGGCGTTTTGCAAAAGGAGCCATTAATCGAAGTATTCCTGGATGATGAATCTCTTTCTAAGGTTGGTTCCAGAGGGGAAAGCCTCATATTTGTAGACTCTGGGAACTCTAGATTTCCCCTGGATCAAGAACTCTGATTCCCAATATTTTATCAATCATTGCATTTTTTTATTAGACTTTGCATTGGAGTGGCAATTCGCTGAAAATGCCTTCCAAACCCCAGTATGGATAAAATTTGGAATATCTCATCATTATCTTCTGGTACTCAAGTAATTCGGGATATAGATAATCTGAGAGTCAATCCAATGTCAAACTGCTAATATTCTCCAACGAGGCTGGCCTCATCTATTTCCAGCATATGATGCATTACCCATAGTTGCTGATTATTTCCCAATTCTGTTTCTGCCCTGTTCTCTGATCTGTTCTATCAGTTCTGTTCTGATCAGCTCTACAGTCTTCGAATCTTTGAATTGGAAAGAAGCTTTAAATGTTTCGTCCAAAACCGATAAATTATGTTGATTCTTAAAGAGTTTAGGCTTACAAGTGTCCATTAGATGAATGAAATCATAGATCATAAAATCTTTGTAATTTGTATTTAAGAAATCTCTAATCTTACCGTAGAAAGGATAGAATTATTCGAAAGGGGTTTCAGCATATTTCATATAGGAACTAAAGTATTTTAGTTAGAACCAAAATTATTTTTATAATTTTGGAGGGGCGCGGCTCCCTTAGTGCAGTGGTAGATATGACTCTGCTGTAGTGAAGGGCCGGAATACTTCTTTGCAAATTTTAATTTTCTCTAAATGTCACCCCTTAACGGGAAAGAAAAGCAAAATCTTGTCTTGAGTGATATGATCAAAATTGATACAATACATTTCTCCAAGGGGTCCCAAAACGCAACGCACACGTAGCCTCCGTTTCCGACCTGAAACAGCCTGACCTAAAATGACTCTGTGGAGGAGAGGGTGCAATGAATTTTTCAGCGCTCCAAAAATGGCGGCAAATATGGATTTCCTTTCGTTTGCATTTTCATTTGTGGTGTTAGCTGGTGGTGTTATTGGATATTTGAAAGCTGGTAAGCCTCTGTATATTTGATTAATTCCCCTGACTTTAATTACCTCGACCTTATATGTTTTGCTGGTTTATTTTACCATCCCAGATTAGCTCGCTTTAGCTCAGCTTTTCATTCATGTGATGCCTATTTAATTTGTTTTCAGAAGCTCCATACTTGCCAGCGTATAAGATGTTTAATCCTAGAGGATTATCATGTTTAATCCTGCTATTCTACTTCCCTGTTTAATTGCTTCCAAGGGCTTTTTTATCGATCTTTGCCCCTTTTCACTGGAGAACCAAGATGGCCTGCCTGGAATTTTTTTATGGAAGTTTTAATAAATTCGTTCTTCGAATAATGGCTTTCTAGTTATGTATAGTTGGTTCTATGCAAACAGCTAAGTATCAGTCAAAAAGGAATTCTATACTTAAATTTTTGTACCAATTTTTATTTCTGACTGAATGTAATTTAGTCCACACTCGGTATAGTTGAAAAGTTAACTGAGAAATGAAATAGGCGATAGTAAGGAGCCAAAATGGATTCCGAGGCAGTTGCACTCCTGGGAGAAATTTTTGTAAAATTTCGAGTGCCCTCCTGCACACCTGAAGATGGGTGTGAGTTGGGCGTGATTTGGGTGTAGCTCAAATTAAAACGTTTTTTGAAATATGGCAAAACTAGTTTCTAAATTTGCTTGCAACTGAGATTGAAGGAAAGTGTGCAGTTGCACATGGGGGAGCATTGAAAAATGAGGCCCCCTTTGTGTGAAGCAAGCAGAAAATTTTTATAAACACATTCTCTAGATTAGCTTGAAATAAACTTCAGAATTTTGTTTGCAATATATGGTCTTGCAATTGCTTTTAACTATTTTTAAGCATACTTTTGTTACATTTGATGAATTCAATTATTTGTGGGGCTCCCTTGACCTTGAGGCATTTTACCCCCTGCCTTTTTGTGGTGGCCCTGCTTAGTGACCCTTTAGAATGATCATTTTTTTTTGCTTTTATAAATATTATATCTAAAACTATTCCTTTAATTGCCAAGCCTTGAGGAATTTTATTAACAGCCACATATGGAGTGGTAGGTAAGCATAATACATTTCTCAATAATTGAATTTCCATAAGATGTAAAATTGATGTAAACAGAAAATATGCCAGAAATAATATGCACATAATTAAAAAATTGCTGGGAAATTTTGCGCACACTCTGAAGTGCGCATATCTCACACATGCACCCTTGTCACTTGTCACAAATGCACCCTTGCACTCCAGGATAATAGTTTTTACACTCCTGAGATCTCGTGGAAAGCTGCTGTGAAGTCCAAGGGGGTTTTAGGTATCTGGAATCAGCAATAGGTCATTCTATCCAAAGTGTCCTTAAGTATGTTTTCAAAAGTTTGCTATTTGTTTCAAGCTGTGATCTCAACTTTATTACTTAGTCCAGTTTAAAATGTTAAATCATACAACACATGAGAAGATCAGTCTAGAAAAATTTCTGGGAATTAACAAAGTGGTAAAATTTAAGCTTTCCATCTGCAACAAGTGATAAAGTTTTCAACAAGTGTGGTTTTTTATCATTTGGTTAAAAAATATACACCGTGTTGAAATCCAGTTAGAGCCAGTTGAGTAAATTGCAAACAATCAAGAAATCAAGTTATAAGACTATATATATCATTTGAAATTTTATTTGTCTGAAATCCTCTTCTGGAACTGTCAACTTTAAGAACATATATAACAGATTACCCTATGATAATAAATTCAAATAGCAAATTTGTACTATATATAACCTGTAAGTTTTTATTGTGGGTATTAATTTTAAGGACCCTGCACATTTTTATTAATGGTGTTGTCAAGGTGTGTGAAAAATCAAATTTTCAGATACAATATTCTTTATTACCTTTAATTCTCAGTACAAAATTACAATCAAATTTTCAGATACAAAATTTAAATTCTTTGGGGTCAAACAGTAGTAAGGCCAACAGTGTTTGTTCTAACATTGAGTCAATTGATCTTGAGTTTTAAATTTCTTTTAATTTATTCAATGGGAGTTTCTGGATTCAAATGCTCAAATTCAATTTTTGCCATTGCTTAGAAAAAATATTTCCTATACTGCTGCATAACATTTACCTAGATCATAATCATAACAGCATGATTATCACCCCAAAAAGCTGATATAATTACTGTTTATTTCAGGAAGTACAATGTCCTTGATGTCTGGAATTGTCTTTGGACTGATTCTTGCATTGGGTGCCAGCCAGACTTCACACAATCCAAAAAATGTCTGGATCTCTCTGGGTAAACTTTTCTTATTCACATTTACAAATTCTTTATTTATTGTTCGTTGCTAAGAACTCCTTCAAACCCCTCCCCCCCCCCCCCCTCCCTCCTCTCAGAAAAGCAACTACCCTTCTTCTATACGCCAAATGTACTTAAGCCTAAGTTTCTTTCTGTTCTATGAAGACTTGACAGCAGAATAACCCTGAACATCTTTCAATTGGATAACGTAAGACTGAAACCACAACTGTTAATGATTTTGATCTCAGTACTCGAGTTATTTTTACAAAGAATGCTATGGTCAACAAAGGCCTTTTTCAGGCTGGTAATTTCTACTGGCTTTCTTATATCCACTGGGTTTTTTGGCTTCCTTTATATTTACAATTGCCAAGATGATTATGTACTGACATTACTCTAGAACTAAAAGTCTGCTGAAATATTTTATTGTAATAAATTTATATTGAAATATTTAAACAATCTTTTGGTGGTACAAAACTTGTAAATAGCTTTGAAAAAAGCAAACATTTAGTAAACTCAGTTTACTAAATGTTTGCTTTTTTCAAAGCTATTGAAATATTTCTTAATCTATTGTAATAAGAAAAACCACCTCGAATTGCACCAAAAAACATTTGAACAATCTTGTTGATTTGACTGTACATTTTTAGTTGGTAGAAATTGTTGTAACCAGGCAAAATGGTGACGAGAATCCAATGTTATGAGATAAATTTTTAAAATAAATCAAATCAAACGAATAATAATATTTTGCCCCAGCATACATAGCTTTATCAGAGTAAAAATCTATTTTTCTACTTTTTTCTGGCATTTCTTGATTATTTTAACTGGCATATCTTAATTTCTGGCATTAAACTTATTTGGTGAGCTTGTGTAAAGTCTTTTCTACATAATTTGGTTTGGCAAAATTTGGTTCAAAAGAGTTCAAAAGTATGACATCATCAAATCTATTTTTAGTATTTTTTTAATATTGACTACATAAGCTAAAAGATTACCAGAAGTACATCATAAGTGAGCAAAATATGTTGAATATGCCATAGATTAGATGAGATAGGGCCAATTAAACATTTGTAGTTTGATAATGGATCATGTTATGTTGGCTCTACTTTTGAAGTTATGAAAAGAGACCAAATCATCAAGGTTTGATGAGGAATAAACCTGTGCCCATGTGACCATATCTCAGTCTTGACAGATTTAAATGATTTTGCATATTAAATGGTATTTAAAGATGCTCTTCCAGGCTACAAGATTCAAATCTGAAAATTCTAAAAATAAACTTTTGTGACATCTTCTCTTAAAAACTCCATTGACAATGCTCCATAATTTTTGACACAACCATTCTTCTAAAGGGCTATTTGGTTGATAAGAACAAGATTGGGTCAATGTGTTAACTTTGAGTATATTATACATTTTAAAAAAATGTCCAAAACCTCATAGCTACCATACTTGTACAAATAAATTTTTTAAAAAAACTGGCTGCAAGAGCAAAAAAAGGAATTACCAAACAGAAAATGTATTTAGGTTCATAGAATGCACAGCAACTTTCATTATTGCAATTTTGTTGCCGTCTATTTGAAGTTTTATTTCTAGTTCTAAATGAAAGAACCTTATATCTCAAATGAAAGCTCCTCAATTCTGGATATTTGAAAAACTGGCTAATACACACATCTACTAATTGGCAACCAATCATGAAAAAATTACCTTTTGTTACCAGACATCTCAATGGCGAGATATAGATACCCAAATTTCATGTTTGAAGCAAGACAAGACATGTTTGAAGGTAAACATTGAAAAACTGAAATGAATACATGAGCAAAGCTTTTCAAATATTTATTCTAGCAATTATAGAGAATCTTCTCTATTATACTATTTTAAACAATGTAAATATAACGAAATAAAGTTTAAAAGAACAATAAAATACTGAGTCAAACTTAAAAGCATGTATTATCATTTAGTGTTTGTTTCATGGACACAAGTCAGTTTTCGTTGATAATGCGTTTAGCTGTCTCGATAATTTTGTCTCCAATATTTTCATTTTTGTTAATGAAAACAAATTCCACGTGATTTTTGATCGACGGATCATCGTCCTTCGAATAATCTTCCATTATCATCTTCATCGTTTCGTAAAAAACAATGGTCTGGCTGTTCCTTTCTTCCTCAGACATACCAACCTTCTTGTGGCTGCACATTTCTCTCAGGACATTAAGCGGCGTTGCGTATTCAATAGCGGCGTAAAAAGGACCTTCGTCAGAATCCACGCGGTAACACGAATGCACGTACTTTCTTTGCCGTATCCCACCGACAGTTTCCCTGACTGGTTCAAGGTTCTCTGAATAGGAAATTCGCTTGTCGGCTTTGCTTATATCGTGGTGAATGGAACAATCGGCCGGGACCAGTATCAGCAGCTTGTCCAGTATACTGTCCTTGTTTTGGCTGCTTATTGTGTTATGTATGAATTTGGGCAAGACCTTTTTTAAGTAGCCGAAGTAGAAACCCCATCCTAGGCCTACCGCTGGGTTCCGTGCCCGTGCACGAAAGAACCAGGTTAAGTGAGAGACCAATGCAACCACGAGTGGCAGCTCCAATTTTGCCAAAGTGCTCACCGCTGCAGAAAGCAATCCGAATGAAATGCTGAGTATAAGGTCCCTTGTAAGATTTTTTCTGTTGAACTCACAGTTTAAAGCAGTTTTTAACAATGCCCCTTTACGCCCTTTAAAAAGCAGCACATTTTGAAGCACGATTAAAACTCTAGAAAACAACACATACCCAGCAATTCCAGCAGTTCCTAACAACACCAATTGGATTTCCATAATGACCGAGGAGAATTTGAGCACTTCTGTGATCACCTATGATTTGTCTTGGATGCTGTTGAAATCCTGTTCATATACAGTAAGATGTTTATAAAAGGGGATGTCCCGATTCCAGGGAAACTACTGAAAGTGTGTAAATAAGGGAAAGGCCACAATACTAGAAACTACTGAAAGCTTGACAATATTAGTTTCGTTTTACCAGCATGATATGATTTGTTTTCAATGAAAATGCGAGCGCTGGTAAATTCCCTGATTTATATTTTACAATAGATTCAAAAGTACTCTTAAAAAGTGAATAATTTCTTTTTCATAATAAGTGGTTGACTTGCCCAAGTATAAGTTATTAGTCAAAGAAAAAGCAATAGATTTGAGAAAAAAGAACAAATTTGTAGTTTTTTCTTTGATCAATAACTGAGATTTGGGCAAGTGAAGATAAGTGGGGAAACCCATCAGATGCTGGGGGAAACCCCTCTTTTTTTCCTAATTAAAAGGTGATCTCCCTGCACCTGTCTGGATATAACAGTTGGCAAAACGACTTGTTACGCGGGGAAAACTCTATATTTATTCCTACTTTGGTGCTTTCCAGATTTTTTAAAATCGACCCATTCACAATATCTCTAAATATAACTGCTTCTTACTGACTTCGGTTTGGTCCAAATTCTTTTTATAAAAATAATGTTTATAAGAATATTCAGGCTCAAAATCATCCCATCCGTAAGAACACAGTTTCACGTGTTTCTGCGTAGCTTTTTATTTAAACAGTAGTTTGTAATTGGGATTTAACTTGTGTTCAGAGGCGGACCCAGAGCAAACTTGAAGGAGGGGCAGTTGGTAGTGGGGGCGCTGAAAAAATTTAAAAATAGCTGACGAGAGTACGCTGTAAACAGCAATTTCAGACCCATTTTCGGAATAAACAACATAACTTTGAGGTAATCCTCGAAGCAAATTAACCTGTCTGCCTCAGATACTCTTTCACCTGATTCTCATCCTTCAAAAGGGGCGCACAATTGCCAAAAAAGGGGCGCACAATTGCCAAAAAAGGGGCGCCAGACTTGCTTCAACTCGTCGAGGGAGGAGCAGCTGCCCCTAGTTGCCCCCCCCCCCTTAAATCCGCCACTGCTTGTGTTCCATGTCTCACTGGAGTCATATTTATTATTGATTTGATGGAAATGAATCTTGTAGTTTTCTATACCGCTCGAGCCTAACTGCTCTTCACAGCACAACACGGGTCTTTGACTTCTTGAAAGTCAGTTTCAGAACTCTTTCTTCTGGAATTTTTACGAAGGAGTTTCCAATGTCAATTGCATTCAAAGAATTCGTATATTTTGATATTTCCGTCCTTTTTTGGTGATTCACTTTTCTTCTTTTGCTCATGCCATCTCATTCATTGGCTCCAGTGTGTGCATCAGTGTGGCGGGTGTTCCCCCTTTTCCACGAATTCAAATCTTGGATTAAAATGAGGCCGCTTCGTCGTCCTTTTGTGCACTGTGCTATTATATAAAATCGCATACGGCCAAAAATTAAGACTCAAACCGCTACAGCATTTCTGTTCAAGATGATTTTGGCGATTTCTTACTGCTTATTTCAAGCATTGCTCCTGAATTTCTTCTCTGGCCTTCTTCTTGCTGTTGTCATGGACTACTCAAGGTGTAAGGGCAGCATGTCCTTCTTAGGCCGACATCAAAGTTTGAAACTTCTATTGATGCCAATCAATGTTTGGATGGAAAGAGTGCAAGATATTATCAATAGAATCGATAGAAAATGCTTGTTTTTTGTCACCTTCAAGTCCATGATTGATATTTTGGTACACTTAAACAACAATCCCACGATGAATTCACATTTCGGACAGACATGCCTTGCCCTGACCCCAATAAATACAATATTGTCACTCATGCTTATCGGCAGTGATATAGAAGCTGATATTGCTATGGGTACTGCCTGGGGCTTTTACAGATATCTAAAAGTGACAGGAGAATTTTTAGAGGAGAGCATCAACCAGTCGAGGTACAGTTTCAAGCTGAACTTGTTGCCAAAAAGATTTATTCTGATTCCTTCCAATGGAAATGTCAGGGAAACTTTGACAGAGATGGATAAAAGGATTGAATTCACCGAGAACACAGCCTCTCTGAAACTTGATTCAAATGGTACAAAATTGAGGCCTTATTTTCAAAGTGTGCACCTGATTTCTCCTCAATTTGGGGAGTTCGATGAATTCTACTGTATCATTGAACAGGCTGCGAGTGCCAAATCCGTGCACGACCTTGCTCTAAAAGGATTTCTTTCACAAAATGCAACAAAGAGAACAATGAGATGGTTTTATGATATATTGCAAATGTATCTTGATTCAGACATTGCTACCAGAACTAAATTTGAATTGATTTTCTTCAGTGGAAATGACTGTGATGTTGTCAACTCAATAGTAGAAAGAAGGACTCTCTGTTTGAAAAACAAGTCTCTATGAAGTTTATCTTGTTAGTTATTTAGGAACTTGACAACCATATTCAGAATCATCATCTTTGCAATTCCTTTAAAAATGCTTAGCTCTGGTATCTCATTATACCAAATGGTTGTCTATCAAAAAGGGGTTTTGGATACGTACTGCACAAAGACTTGAATCTGGCTCACCATGCCTTATGGACCACGTGAGAGAAAAGAATTTAAGGCAATAGAAACTGCTAAATCTCAGAAGAAATGTTTCAACAGATATAAAGAGCTAGTATGGCTAAGCGGCTGTTTTTTTCTTTCAAAATTAATAACTACCCCTTATCAATTAGTGTATTTTTCTTCAATTTTGAAAGCCTTTGTGATGTGCCTTTAGGATTTCCCACCTTTTCAATTTACCCCCTTCTGCATTTCTCTTTTGTTTCAAATTTGAAAAAATCTTCTGTATTCATATTCCGTTAAGCCCACCAATCTCCCTTGAGATGCTGTGCTTTAGACAAGTTTTTCCCAAATTTTCAAATTGTGTTGGTTTTTCCTACACAAATCCTTCAGTCACCCCAGTTCATGTCTCTTTAAGGCTCAAGGTTTTTCTGCTTCTCAAACAACTGTAAACTGATAAATATTTATACCAAGTTTATTAGGCATCCCCAACTGCTGTTCATTATAAGTTTTATGCACTAGAAAACAATACAGCTGGACTTTTCTCTGTTTTTGAGCATGGAGGTTGCCATATGTTATCAGAGAACAAAAAGAGTTTTTTTGCTTTTTAACACTTATTTTCATTTGTGTTTCTGAGAATTCTTTTATAACTTTGCATTTTGATAATCATGTATAACTTTTGTTTAATTTTTTCATATTTTCACATTATCAAAAGTAACATGATAAATTCTACATAAGAGCTTTTTGTGTACCCTCTATGAGCTGTATTAATTTGTACTCTATGGCTTTAGTCCTCCATTTTTTGAATTACTTTTTGAATTACATTTTCACATTTGAATTACAATTTCACAAAGTAGTGTGAAAACATGCTCACCGACTCGTTATTATCTATCTTCTTACTGGTGTTAATGTTTGCAGATCTCAGGGGTTTTGCCAGTCAGAAAAGCTTGAGTGGACAGTATATAGAAGGATTAAACAACATCCCTCAAATTTCAAGAAGTAGCTGACAACCCCTTTGTTACCAATTCGATTGAATTTCAATACTTTAGAAACAATGTATTCCTCGAAGCCGAAACAAAGAAACGCAAGGTTCCTTTTTAAACATTAGTCGTATCGAAATCTCTGGAGTTTGACAAGATTACGCTTTGGCTGGTTATAAGGAGCCCCGTTATTGCAAACTTTAAAGTACCTTTCCTAAAACAAGTCCATTGTGACGAAGGCTTGCCAAGTGCAACAAGAGAAAGAGAAAGACCAAAGAGAGAATGATTTTGTATGACTGATTAGACACAATAGGTGAAATCAAAGTATTTTTTTCTTCAACCCAGACCATCTTTTGGCCACACCCAATTTTCACATCCAGACAAGTTTGAGCATTTTCTGTAAGAATTGGTTATCATTTTTGTTAAAATTATCCCATCGCTCATTTTCCTCTTAAGAGTTTAGAAACATTCACTAACGCCATGGGTAAATGGAAACCATTTTAAATTCAGTCTAAACGCGATAAGAAAATAATGAGAGAGGGTTGAAATTTTTGGAAAGTATTTTTTGTGACCGTGGATCCATGATTTTGAAACTTCCTTTACACTTGTCATGGGCGTTCGCAATTGGTACAATCCGCGTTCCCTGCAGCTTTTTCATGCAACAGTTTTTGAAATGCTGGTACTAGAGGGACACATTTACCTTGACAATAATTGCCAAACTGTCCTCTTTGCAGCTGCATCTGTGATTCTCTGCGTCGTAATGGGTATGCGATTCTTCAAGACAGGCAAAGTTATGCCAGCTGGTATGGTATTTTTCCTCAGGTATGTTTTATTTCCATAATATCATTTGTTTCTACTCACATAATATTATCAGTTTATCATTAGTATCATCATCAGCATTTGAATCATCCATAATCATCATAATCATCATGACATAAACACCATCAAGCATCAATATAATCATAATATGCAAACAATCTTTTGGTGGTACAAATCCTAAAAGTGCCTTCTTAAAAATCTTAAAACTGGATACTTCTGGTACAAATCTTAAAAAAAGCAAACATTTGAGTATACTGAAGCTTTTCGTCTGGCACAGTATAAAACGTCAGAACATCAAACGTCAGATTGAACACTTTACTCCAGTATAGGGAATATATTTACTCATCACCATAACACAAAAAAGAATCTTTGTCAGTCAAGCATCATCAATCATAACCGTCGCCATGATCGTCACAATCGCCATGATCGTCACAATCGCCATGATCGTCACAATCGCCATGATCGTCGCAATCGCCATGATCGTCACAATCGCCATGATCGTGGCGATCATCATGATCGTATTATTCCTTGTTCTGTTCAGACATTGATTATTCCCCTCTTCTGTACCAATAATCAGCATATCGAGTAATTTGGTGATATTTTGTCACATCTGCCTGTACATAAACCCCTTTTATATACTTCATCCTTTTTTAGTATAAAGATCTTCATCAGTCCCATCAACGCTCTAAGTTTTTCTTCCTTTGTCCTATGTTCTTTCATTGTTTTTGATGAGTGGTTTCTTTGTTCTAGCATTGGCTCGATTTTAAGGCATGCCTACAACTATTACCACTGACTGATTAACGAAACCGCATAGAATTCCTCGTATGTAAGTTTTGATATTTCAATAAAATCTCTAACGACATGTCCTTTAATTTTGTACAATCTGCCTTTCATAGTATGTTTGTTCACTGTCAGTCGTCTCCCTTTGCGCTTTAATTTTACTACATACAGGATATCGAGTGAAAAGTAAGCGAAACCATGGAGCATGATCAAAAGTTCTGGTTCGTGCAACAGAAGTATCCAGTTGTTGTAGTCCAATAAATTTTTATACAAATTTTGGGCCACACAACACATTGCATCAGTCAAGCTAAATTTCGATTATTCAAAGAAATCGTTTCATATAAGCCAGCTTACAATGAACTAAATGCGTACTGCCAACGTTTTCAGCTCCTTGTCCGTCGGTCATTTCTGGTAGGCGTTGGCATGCGCCCTATACAGAGCTCTAGAGTCGATGCTGGCATTAGCGTTTTCCCGTTGACGTTTGCGTCTTGAACTTGACGTTTTGACTATGACGACTTGACGTTTGCGTCTTGACCTTGACGTCTTGTCCATGACGTCTTGCCATTGAGATCTTGATGCTGAAGTTTTGACGTTGGCATTTTGACGTTTGCGTTTGACGTTGAAAATCTGAAAATCCGGATGTATGTCTTAGCTGGGCGTGAACTTTGCTCTTCTCGTCTGATTTGCCAATAATTCTCACAAATTTCAATACTTCTTATGAGAAGTTGTTATATGCCGTAGCACCAAACCATCGGCTGCATGGGGGCGCTGGATTCAAATATCAGAAAGATTTAATAGAACAGAAAATCAAAATCTATGTTTGTTAGAAATAATATTTGATTGCGATTGATAGAAATAATTTTCATCAAAATCAATTTATACATTGAGACAAAAAGTATAAATTCGATTCAATTGAAGAATGTTTCAATTCGGTACATTAAACTCATGATCGTAATGTTTGCAGCTCTCAGCATAACATGTCACTTTTACATTGTGACAAAAGTAGCTGCCGTTGCTACTCCACAGTTATTGTCTTTTTGTGACATCAAGACGTAGCCATCATTTCCCCAATATGTGGACCAAGAGTTCTTTATCAGCCAGTACGGCTCCCCATTCAGCACTCCGTATCCGACAGCAAGAACCGCGTGGTCCAGCGAGTCGGGAGTGTTACCTGAAATACAACCATCTGAATTTTACCGCGCGTCATTATTATTAACGTACATTTGTCTGTGATTTATGAATAGACCTGTCATCTGCAACAACGTTACAACTTTCCCACTTTGTATGCCTGCTTTTGGAATGCTCTTTTGATAATAGATAAAAGAGCCATCTTCTTGTCGGTTCTTATTGGCTGCCCGTCAAACCCATTTAAACGACTAGCTTTATAGAGCACCCACGCTCCTCAAATATACAGTGACAAGAACATGGGACGTGCTTTCCTTATAACTTTATCTTGGTGAACTACTGTAAACCCTTATATTGCCCCCTTCCGCTTCGTATAAGCCCCTGTGCAATATGCCCCCGCCTTGTTAGTATACTTATAGGCCTCAATCCTAGAATAACCCCCTTGAAACGGTAGAAGATGGCTTTTTTGCCTGATTGTTCTTTTCATGGAAACAACACATTCACATTAAGATTCAAAGTGATACTACCTAACCCTGGAACCAAAGCAAAACTTGATCAGCTGTTTAAACGAATTCTCGACATGCGGAACGTCGATAATGCTTTTTAGTAGATTTAAATTTCTTAAGTAGTTTTTGAATTTCTTAATTTGAAAAAAAATCTAAATAGTAGCATATCCTTTTCTAGAGCGGACCCATATATTGTTATGTATTACCTTTGATACAGAAAAGATGTTAGTTATCACATTTAAAGATAGACATATTTGTGTTTTATTAAAATAAGTAAAGGGGCCTGGATCTCTTTCATGTTTTGTTCATCTTTTGATGAAATGAAACCTGTTACGTTTATAATGGGGGTCGAAAATAAATTGTAAATGGTAAAAATAAATGGTTAAGGGTAAATGATTGTTAGGATTTCTATACGTGAAAAAGATAATGGAAAAAATAATCGTAATGGAAAGTATTAGCTACGTACCGCACTTTGGCTCGTAATAAACGCCGTGTGAATAGAAAGACAGTGATAAATGAGAGGCGTCAATTCCAACTGATACTGGCCCTTTCATTGCTATCGCCTCTTTCAATTGGTTCATGTCCCCGGAAGTGATGTTTACGTATCCAGTCAGCTTTGCACCAATCACAACTTCTTTATTGTTGAAATGACAATACCCATTCTAGAAAAAGATATGAATCTTCTGTTTCAATCAAACACAATGCGGCAAATTTCTATCTACGAGGTTTTATTTTTGACAGATTTTTAGACACTGTTAGAAACTTTGAACATATAACCCGTACATGTGTTCTTTGAATTTTGTGACATTTTTGCTTAATTGCTGTTCTGTGAGGGTGTTTATTCCTGTGCCCTATTGACCCTAGCAAGGATACTGAAACAATAGTTTCTTTCCGGAAATCTATCGCCAGCGAACCTTCCAGAACTTTCTTTTCCCTCGTGACTTGCATGTACAAATCTAACATGATTCTAAGATCTGACCTCCTAATCATCCTTTGGATAATGGGCCTTATCTGCTCCCATAATCCTTTGCAAAATCAGTATACCAAGAGTACTGTAGTTACTTTATCTCAAAAGCTTACGAATATGATTATTTTTAAATTCTGTACAACCGATTTACGCTGTTGACGTGATAATGTATCTACTCTATAGTTATATAAAGTATGGCTGATAGTATTAAAAACCAACTGTCAACCAGAAAAAATCTCTATAATTTACAGGGTCTTCTCTCGTTTTTCATCTTGTTTGTCTGTGTCAGAAAATAATTTTGCGTAGCGTCACTCTGTTTACAAACAAACGTAGAATGCATCCTGCCGTTTGACCACGTGACAAATTTCGATTTCTCCTATGCGGTGGTTCATTTCTGTTTTCAATATGGGTAAGTCGGATTTTTCAAAAGTGGGGAAATTTCTTCTGATCCTAAGAAATTTGAGTTATGCACGTATGACAGTATGCATGTGCTTTTCACTAATTTCCATGATATGCTAGATTCTGCATACCTCCGCAGGTACTTTTGATCAGCAACACCCCTTTTGGAAGACACTTACCGCTCCGAGGTAGCCGCCATAACTGTCCTCTGTCGCTAAACCACCGTGCTTCATAATCCACTGGTAGGATCTGAAGTCTTCACCCCCGTCACACCCATTATTCCCAAAGCCCCATGAGCAATCGACAAGATTTTGTTGAGACAACCGCACCAGTTTTCCAGTCTAGAATAAAAATTATATTAGTTTGACACACGCGGCATCGTGCTGTTTGAGTTTTGGGTTGAAGGCAAAAGTCTGAATTTTTTAATATTATAGAGGTGTATACGATTTGTAGGAGTCGATAAACAACCTTTTTGCCTAAACAATAATTTAAAATATTTACAACCTGGTCGAATAACTTCATTCCTTGGGGAACATTGAGATTTCAATCCCCTCTTTTTCTGTCAGGTTTTTCATTCCCATGATTGATTTCATATCTAATTCTATATCCCCTGTATGCAGCAAACTAAACAAGCATTTTTGAGAATCTCTTGGTCTTAACATTGTCACAGTTCTTTGTCTAGTGGCTCAGTGGTTAAAGCGCTTGCTGGATCATCGTCGTTCATCGAGAATAAACTTCTTTTCTATTGACTATGACGGAACGTGGTGACTTCGAATCTAGCTAGGGAAGTTAGAAGCAGCAAAGGATGGAATTGGCAACACTGCCTACAATCGTCCACAAAAATTGCGAGACTGCTTTTCATTCCCACCTCGCAATAATGTCAAAGTTTGTTTGGCGTATTTTACCAAAAAGAAAACCTATCGAAATTAGTTTGTAAACCATTCGTAGTTTTGGCTTAGGCTTCAGAATGGCTTATTTGTTGCTCAATCCTTCCACTGTCCCCTTCCCTCCCCCGCCCCCTCCAAGCAATGTTGTTTGTTGAGATTTGGTGAAATAGTTGCAAAACGTGTGTGCAAAGATCGTATATTAACAACATTGCTTGAAGAGGGAGAAGGGTAAAATACAATTCTAGTAGAATGCTGTCAATAACATTTTTCTGATTTCATCACTGGTTTCAATATATTTTGTAAAGGATTGTAGTCATGCTGTTGGCCCAGGGCAGCCCTTTAACAGGCAGCCCCCACCCCTCCGCTGTTGGCACTGGACATCCCTTTAACAGGTAACCATCACCCTCACCCCCACCCCTACGTACAAATCTTATGCAAAACTTTTCTCATCCCCTTCAAAAAGCATTGTCAGTTAAACAGCATCAGCTTCCCGTTATGTGTCAGTCATATAGCAACAGTTAGATAAAACAACATTAATTTTGAAGTCAAAGTTTCCCATTATGTGTCAGTCAAAGGTATTACCTTTAGAAATAGAGCACCTTCTATTGTCCCTGTTGTTCCAAAACTCCAACATGAGCCGCAAACAGCTTGGTCCTTCACAGGCGTAACAGCCCCTACGGGTTGAAAAAACTGAATATTTGAATGCCATAATTCAAAATACCTAAGACGCAATTAGAAAGAGTCTGGTGAATCAGATATCAATTATCTATTTTTGTAGATAATCTCCCAAGGTCGATTAGACTAATGGTCTGTTATTTCTATCAGTTTCAACAAGGCAAAAAACACAAAACTGATAGCTTCTCTCTCCGTCGCAAGGATGAGAAAAGCTTTGAAAAGGGGTGTCCTCTGAGTATCCATCCTTCTTCTTACGTATGTTATTGTACCAAGTGGTTCTATAGCCCATTTGAAAATGCTATCAGCGATTGCAGAACACATTGTTATCCATCCTGTGCACATCTTTCTAAAAATGTATCATTAGCTATGAAATGATTAGCCTAGTTAAGTCTCTTGAAAAAACGGCTGTTCTTTCATAAATTTATCAAAGACTCAATTTTTAAAATAAAATTCAGCACATTTTACACGTTTACTTTTTGTGGGAAGTGGTAAAAACATGCAAAAAAGGCCTAAATCTTGCTACGAGGCACGTTTGTTGTCATATGAATATGACAACAAACGTTCTTGAATTCTCATTGGCTAATGAGGTATGGAGAATGTTGATCGCTCAGCCAACCAAGATTTGGAACCTAGGCTGATAATCACATAATCTCAAGAGAATAACCTCATATGATAATATTCATGATCTGTTATGCTGATTCTCGTATCCAGTGCTAGGCAGAACATTACATATATAATTATTGTTGTCATTGTTAACGAAGCTTTTATTAAAATAGCAGACATTCAAAGAGAAAGAATTTTAGCGCACACGGCACATGAATGTTTGTTTTTTCGTCGACAGTTTTAGTATATCAAGATGCTTGTTCTCGCCCTTGCTATAGGAAACTGGTCGCAATTGGACTAGAAAGCATGATGGTCTGTCTCATTGAGGAAACCAATAAAGACGAAAGAAACTGACGTGCCACACGAAAACCCGACCCTTTTTCTGAAAAGGTTGTCAGAACTTAGCGTTTATGTACCGAGGAAGAATAAACACAATTCTGGGCTCTGCTTGTGCTCTGACCTTTACAAATGCCTCGTTTGGAAAAAGAAAGAACTCACCACGCAGCCTCCAATTCATTGTTTCTGGGATTTCATGAGGCTTCAGTATTTCATGAGGCTTCAGTACTGGCTTGAATTCTTTGCCCCCGTTGTATTTGCCATCAGATTTCTTTTTCCCACGCAACTTGCGCAGTTCATTGGGGGTTTGATCAGCGAGGTGGTTGACTTTTACTTTGTAGGTTAGTCCTTTACGGTTTGTGGAGTGAATGAACCTTGAAGAAAAATCCCAGAAACAAATGGTGATCATACGGTAAAAAAGTGAAGATGTCGATGAAAAGAAGAAGAATCGATTTGCCATGCCCAAACCAAACCTTTTTGGTTTTTTTTCTGAGAAAGCAGTTCGAGTCTAACTTCTCCATACTTATGCAGCCATCCACTAAAATTGCTCTTTCGAAAAAGTAATAGTGAAAGCAATTGGCCTGCTAGCAACGCAGGGTTACTGAAACTTCCTTTCCCCTACAATCATATTATCAAGTGTGCTTACAAAGCCAAATTTTCTCTAGGACACCTAGAATTTTTATCTTTTGCCGTATGTTCCTGGTATGTTGCCTCTTTGCCCCTTTTTGATAAGAGCTTTGAAATAAATTGTAAGTGTTGCTTTTTTAAATTCGCTTGTTTATAAAAAACACTGCTAATACATTTTGTCGGTCAAAAATAGATCAAATATTTAACTTTCTGTGCATCTCTTTCTACTTGTACATACACTGTTCTATAATCTAGCATAGTTGAATGAAGTCAGGGCTAGCTAGTTTCCAACTCGCTACTCCTTATAGTCAATGATATTCAAATATTCATGAAATTTGATCAAAAGAGAAATACCTTTAGATAGTGACCACTTCTTTGTTGATGTGGTATAGATCACGTGACCAGTACTTACCGATGTTATTACTCAAATAATATTGCTAAATAACCATATTCGAAAGTAGCTCACCTCAGGTTGTGCCTGAAAATGTGCAATCTTTTATGATATTCATCGATTCCCTGGTTTATATAATCCTTCTTGTATTTTGTTGTGAAATCGCTGAACATAGGATGCAGATGCTCATCGTTGGTTGGATGAATGAATTCTTGCATCGGATTGACTACAATGTTTGCCTCGTGACCCGGTCCTGGGAAACCCCCGCACTCGATATCTAAAATGATGCAGTCACAAAAAACGCTCTGGAATAGCTATTGTTACCGCTAGGTGCAAGATGAAATCTACTACAATAAAACCTCCAAACAACGGAGGACTAAGAGCAAAGTCCATATAAAGTGACTAAGTATTATGCAAAAAAACTAGTTACAAGATAACCACAGGTTTTCCTTCCCTGCATATTTGTTCTCGTCCTGTGGCGTTGTTATGGTAATGATTTTCTATTTGGTAACGATATCGTGCTTTTTGTGGCGCCTGCCCCTTCCATTCGTCGTTACCCAAAACCTGGAAAGGTCCAACATGGAACAAGTCAGGGAATATTTTATTGAATTTCTTCAGGTCAAGGAAAAGTCAGGGAAACTTTTCAGGCAATCTGCCTTTTTGGATTAATGAACGTTTTTTATCTTTATCAAGGTCAATTTTTTATCTGTGCTGTGACCTATCTTCATAGGCAAGATTTATGATAAAAAGGGCATAGAAGCAGCAAATCATTTGTTGTTGGAAAGACATGGAGGGGGCATGTGCTCCCAAACCCCTTCCCAAACCCCTTCCCAAACCCCTTTCCAAACCTTCTCCCAAATCCTACGCCATTTTCTATTGAATTTGGAGAAAAACCGGAACTTCCTTACTCTTTACGAACACTGGTTAATTATTATGTATGGATTATGACATGAGCAAACGCACCTTTGATCGGAACATCGAACACCGTATCATTGTATTCAGTCATGTAGGAATCATACGTTATCTTATAATCATCATAATGTGAGCCGTATAGCGAATCGAAGCCAAGCATCTCATAGTAGACTGGAGATCGTGCAGTTTTCGTGACGTATACAGTATACGTGTTCACTTTGCTGCCCATCTCGTTGACCAGACGCCAGCTTTCCACGTACTGTCCTTTGTAACTAACCATGCCTGTGAACTAGATGAAAAATGGAAATAGGAAAGCGTCACGACACAACACAGGTACAACAGTGCCCTTGGTCTGTTGCGATAAACAGTAGAAAAGGGTAATGAGCGGGAGGCGCACTAGCGTAGCCACTCTGGTTTTATTTGGAGGGCAAAGGCAGCTTGAGTGAGGGGAAAATTGGAGTCCACACCTTTTGAAACGCCAGAAAATGCCCTTTTTTTAAAAAAAATTTGCCATTGGGGGGGGGGGGGCGTCCCGTTCGCTACGGCACTTGGGAAGAGGGGTATTAAGGCTCTGGCACACAGAGTATCAGAACAATCAACAGCTTTAAAGGAGGAACTAATCAAGACTGCACGTTACGTTTAGGGAGAACAAGTTAAGAAATCCAGATGTCAAAATGGTATACTGAGTGGCCAGTTTTTTTGGTAGGCCTATTAAAATGAATTTCTAGAGAAATCATGTTGGATCATTTGTGTCATGAAGTTTTAAGGCAAATTTATCTTAAATCTTTGGAGTATTTGGCTTTATTTCATGTCAATTCTGAAAAATTTGCAGTTAAATATAAAGTGGCCCCATCTATAACACATAATCGTTATATTTTTCGGCATATGACCACAGACCGTTTTCACCCGACTGCATGGCACCATGCAAGTCTATGAACAGTAGAGAGATATACAGTACAAACCTCATGTATTATGAGACTAGAAATGTATTACCCCTGCCTTTAAACCCCAGCCCACTGTCCCCCGGCTCATAATCTTGTGGGTATCTCGATTTAGTGTGGTACACCCCTCCTTCTGTTCGTATGAAGAGATAGCAAAATTTGATGCTAGCAGTTAGTGATATTCAATCAAAGTTTCCAAACTTGCCTTCGTTTTTACACACCTGAAAGTTGCCTGTATCTGGTAGCGATGCTTGTGGCGTTACTTTTCCTTCCTTTGTTCCATTTATTTGAAAACATGACTTCTTGTTGACTACTTTTTCGTCTGTCATTGGTGATAGTTTGAAAATCTGTCCGAAGTCTCCTTTGTCACTTCTCTGTATAACGGCATCCATTCCTGGAATTTATTCATAAATTGTATATACTATCTCCCTGTGACAGTTGATACACTAAGATGCCTAATAAACCTCGTCCATCCAACCCCCTTTTTCCCCGCTTAATAATTTCTGCCTAGGGCCGGTGTAATATGCGTTTTGGTACCCTATGCAAAAGTGTAACATTGTGAAACGCAATGTTTCAAATCAAGTGATTTCATCGTAGTGCGATATTATGACAAATTATAATTAATAAATAGAACACAATGCTTTTTTTTGTTTAAAATTTCACACTTTTTAATCAAGAAAACTTTGGAGTCGCCATTAATGTTGTACTTTTTTGCATAAACTTAACAAGGGAAATCACAGCACCGCTTCTTGTTAGTACCTCCTTGTTAGAAATAGTTCGATTGTTCTTTACATTCTGAACATTATGAATCAGAACATTTGTGTTCCCAGACCAGGTCGCATGCTAAATTCCACCATTTGTTTCAGTTCCCTGTCTTTTAAAAGTTTAGGTACGTTTTTGCATAACCAAAATTGCCATGCGTTTGAGTACCCGGACCGAAACGCATATGACACCGGCGCAACCATTTCTAAACCTAAGGGGCCAGCAATGTAAAGAAATTATTCCCAGCCCCCGTTGTTCCAAAAATGTTTGCTGATGTCGTTTTACTGTTGATTTGGCTTAGTGTATTTGTTTGTAAACTACAGGTCTATCTGTATATAAATTAGTGCTCATTTAAAACTTTAAAAGCGTGGGGGTCATTGCATGGCCCCCTTTGCGCGGGCCTTGCTGTGACATTTGCCATTCTTAGTTGCCTGTAGTAGACGCCTCTACCCTGCTTATTGATTTTTTAAAAATTTCCAACTCCTTCGCTTTAATAGGGGTGCCCCCCTTTTATTACTTATTTAGGCATTGACCTTGGAGTTTCACCTGAAAAATTTTTTTTCACAAGTTCTATATATCTTGTTATGGCTCTAAAACTTTTCTTCTATCAAGGCCTCTGACGACGGGGGCTGGGGGCATGCCCCTACTTTTTTGCAAAACAATATAGTTTTTTCAAAATTTTCAAAATTTTCAAAAACTTTTCAACCTGTTTCGGAGCCCATGTTTATTGTCAATTGATGCTCTCCTTTGCCTTTTGCATCTTTAAAACATAGCAACTTTCTTAACACAATCCCGTCCTTGAGATTCCGATCCCCTGTCTTTAACCCTCTCTATTGGGCAGGTTAGATAAAGCTGTTGCCCCTTGAGGAGAAATTACCAACCATGTGATCCTGTTATTCTATCAAAGTCATTATTATTCAAAGAGATTTCTGAGCATTATCAAATTACCATGAATATATGCTGAACAATTCTTAGGACAGGGATACGATTTGCATTCGTGAGGCAAATGACTCCATTAAAATCTTTGGTGGAAATCTCACTGTTGTATTTGTAAAGCCCTAGAAATCCTTTCTTTCGTGGAAATCTTTCCTATGCTACTTGCAAAAGTGAATTGCCCTTCGTTTGCAACGTAACACACATGGCAGAATACACCCAAAGCGTACTTATGAACCTGTTTGCTCGATTATGATTCCTGTCAATTCTCAAATACCCTATGTTTTTTATGAATTAAGATTGATACCTCCATAAAAGTCTATCCTGCTTCGGTTTTTGACTCCATCAAACCATGCCGCAAATGGCTCCTCAATCTGTGCATACGGCAGCCTTAGAACACCTGTCACTGCATACCTGACACCCCAGAATGGAGGAGTTAGGGGTGCATTACCCTCAGTTCTGGTAGGCACCCCAAAAACTGACGATGCCTGAGCAATGAGCAAAACAAACCAAATTTTTGGCATCTTCGTCGCTTCAGCTTGTCGCATTTCTATCATGGCTGACTATCAGTCAAAAGTATTGTTTTCTTGATAAACACATGAGGTGGTCATGTGATTCTCGAGGTATAGCCACTTCCGGGTTAGGACCTTTCGTGCAGAACTATTGAATTGTGATTTAATGACGTCATACCTCGCAATAATTTTTAACTTTGAACACATATCCAGAAAGTGGATCATGAAATGCTACTTAATGTGCAAATCCAGCTAAATCCTTTACAAATGTGTTTTTCATCATACCTTCCACACTCCCACCACTCTGCTTCCACCTAGCGAAATAAATTTTAATTTGTTATTAACACTCTTTGTTCTACACTCTTTTTTGTAAGAGCACAACCCCATAATTGGTCAACAGAAGTTCAGAACAAATAAGAACAAGCTGAGGCTGAGCTACTATAAAATGTAATTTTGAACAATGTCAATGTTTCATTTCAAAAACGAAAAGTTTTTTGCCATCTAGGGGTGCCATCGGTGAATTTTCAAACTTGTCGGCAAATAGGGGATGTCTCACTCACTTTGTTGGCAACAAGGCCTGAACACCTCACTAGAGTGCAATAGCTAGCAATTACACTGTCTACTATCGAATAATTAAGGGGGAAAATTAAGAACAATCTAGCCACGGATTTTCGAAAAAATTAATATATACGGGTGTATGGATTCATGCATACTTGGCAAGCTACGGCAGAGTTGGCGCCAGAAATTATCCGACAGAGGGGCTGGAGCTTCCGACAGGGGGCTAAAATGACTAAAATAAGCAGTTTTCGTACGTTATTTTGTCAAATTTGCTCCGACAATAACCTAAAATTTCCTCCGTTGGGGAGGCTAGATGCTTCCGACGAAGAGGCTATAGCCCCCCTAGCCCTCCCCTGGCGCCACCACTGAGCTACGGTGGTATCCTTCCGTAAGATTTTGCTTGTAAAACATTAATTTTGTGTTTAAAACGGTGATTAAACAATACGAAAGCCACTTTTTAGGTCATTGGCTGAATATTTTTCCTCAAAACAAATGCTCAATGCGAGTGTAAAACTGCTGGCACGTGACTCGGTATGAACACCACACGATGAAAAACAGCACTGTTTACGATACCATGTATACCAGAGCCGCATAAATTCGAGCGTGGAAATTAGAAGATACGAGTGGAAAATGGGGGAATGTTCGAAATTGTGCTGCTCTGGTACCTAGGTACCCGGAGTTCCTGAGCGTCAAGTGGGGGCGATGAGGAAACATGGCGTTGAGGGAGAGTGCAGAGGAAGAGAGGAGAGATCATTCTCCGTAGCTTGCCAAGTTTCCGAAATATTACACTGCAACGCAACGAGACTGAACAACAACAAACACACATAAATCAGTTATGGCTAATATTTTGCCACGGCATACGGGGCTTTACAGAGCAAAAGTAAACGAACTAAACAATTACAAATTTTTCTGAAATATGTTCTGTATATATTTTATCCGGAAATCTACCAAAAACTAATACTTAGAGGTCTTAGAAAAAATTAATAACATTAAGTTGTGGAAAATCAATTTTAAGAAGACCCGAGCCTCAAATTACCAAAAAATCAAGAACTTCGAGCCTCTGCAAAAGTTTTCTGGATCATATAGAAAAACGAGTGTTAGAGAACATATTACAATTTAAGAAACGTAAAACTTGACAGAACGGTAATTTAATTTATAACCCTACATAATAGACAGGAAATTTTGCAAAACCATCTAGCAAACTGCCTTAACGAATTTGTTAAAGTTTGAATCATGAAAGTAAAAGCCACTGATCATTTCAAGTCTTGGGTACATTCTGGCAAATGACCGGAAGAAATATTTTAGAAAGCGTTATAAATTTTGATCTTCGAAGTTTTCAAATCTGATTTTATCAGAAAGAGCTTGCAAGATTGAGTAAAAATACTTGTTTCCTGCCGTATTATATTATTATTATTATTGAAACCGTCACAAAGAACTACTTTTTTTAGACATTGGTACTTGTACCCAGGCTACTGTTGGGTATCGCAGTATAACCTTACAACTATGCACGTTTTACCACTGAAACTTTGTTTTTGAAGGACAGTTCGTATATTTGTAATTGTCTTCCTATGTTTCCATCAGCGATCATAACCAATGAAAAGTTAAGGCACGCCATTCAAACCAACAAGCACATATTTTGGTCGACGAGACATGTCCGTGCTTGTTGGCACGTTAAACTAATTTCTGCATGGAAAACAGTTGATTCTGCGCGCAGGCTAGACTTTGTCCCTCTGTTTCACCATCTCGAGGTCAGGCATTACAACAAACGAGGGGTGAATCACTGCTAAAAATCTCGTACACCTTTCACAAATTACCAAAAAAAAATCTCTAGAATCTCTTAAAAATTGCTGAAATCTTGAAATCTTCAAAATAAATCATGAAATCTAAGAAACCTTATCAAAATCTTAAAATTACTGAAAAAATATTGGATCCTTGAAAAGAAATCTTATAATCTAGAAAAGAAATTTTGAAATCTCAAAATGTTTTGGCAGTGTCTGAAAGATTCTGCCAAATACTGGAATATTCGAAACTTATTTGAAACGAATCTTTGAAAAAATCTTTGCAGTTTATAAATTAATGTCTCTCATCATGAGAAAAACGTGCACCTTTGCTTCTGTTCACCTGTCCAAAAATAGCTAGCCTCGATCTGACTCTGAAACTCGATGTATTGTCACCAAAATGATGACGTCACAAAATTGTTTTCAAATTTCTTAATCTTGACTGTAACTCCCAAAAAAGCATTATGAAATACCTCTCAATGTACAAAATCAGTTGAATATGTTACAAATTGGCTGAGACATGGCCATATGAGCACAGGCTTTTCCCAACAACACAAACTTAATTTTGTCTTGGTTCATAACTTTATGAACCAGGCCATAATAACAGCAATCTGTTTGCAAACTTGCAATCTTTCATTGGCCATATCTCGCCCGATTTTGAACATAATTTTGTATATTGAGAGAAATTTGTGCCGTTCTAAATTAAGAACTTTTAAAAATTCGTTTTCGATATCAGCTACAAAACTTCCAACACCAACATAAACAAGTTCTTTTTTCAGCATCAAGTATTGAATCCCCCCCTCTCCGGGGGGTTGGGTTAATCAAATTATGACAGTAACCATTTTAAAGCAGCAGTTTCATCCTTGCTAGAAATTCGTTTCTGTTTGGTGCAAAGGTTCCGAAAAAATCTATTGCAGAATGAACAATTATCTTACTGTGCACTGTTGGGTAAGAAACTGTCATCTGGATATCATAGTTGTCATAATCAACTTCCTAAATCGCAGAACTTTCATCTAAAAGCCAAAAATCTTTAAGATCTTGCTTTTAACAATGAAATGTCAGATTCAAAAGAAACCCGAAATCTCATGAAAAATCCCAAAATCTTCTGCCTCAGCATAATCGAAGAAGAAGTGACATCGTACGATAGGCCTTACATGAGTACTGATATGACCAGGGACGGACGCAGAAAAAATCATGACGATGGCACAAGAATAGTGGGGCCCCGGGAAATTTTTTTGGGTGACCACGCCCTCTGGTCTTTCGGAAACGCCCAGTCTGAGCACACAGAGACCGGTATAGCTTTTATACCCAAAATAGCGCAAAGCTGTCACCGCTTCTGTCGTTTTATCATCAAATAATACTGGCTCTATGTTTACAACTTGCAAACAAATAACGATGCAAACTGATGTAGGCTAGTCACTGGCCGCACTTAAATACACTCTTTTTTTATAAGAACCAGTAAATTTAGGTTCAGGCTGACTGTTCTTAATTTTTTCGAAAATCTGAGGCTGGATTGTTCTTAATTTGTTCTTGAATTAAGAAGGTGTAAGCAGCGCTATTGCTAGCTTTTTCGCTCTAAGGAGGTGTTCAGGTCTCATTTGCCAACAAAGTGAGTGAGACAGCCTTAACTTGCTGACAAATTTGAATATTCACCGAAAAAGCACCCACACATCGCTAAAAATCCTCGATTTTGAGAAAAAACGTTGTTCAAAATTGCATTTTGCAGAAGCTCAGCCTCAGCTTGTTTTTAATTTGTTCTAAACTTTTGACCAGCTTTAAGGCTCGTGTTCTTATAAAATTGTTCTTATAAAAAAGAGTATATCTTGTTATTCTATCTTGTTTGCGGATTTGTTAACTGGAAGATGATGTCATCCCCCGCTCCCCCTACTGAACGCTAGTTGCTTGCAAGGGGCCTACGATCTGGATGCGTTTCCACGAAATTATACAATGAAGGTTTGGGCCAACACAACAGCTCCTTCTGTGAATCAGTGCGGAAACCATTTGAACTTGTCATACAATTACTTCTAGCAATGTTTCCCTTTTACTTATATGTGAGTGTTACGCTTTTTGTGCCACGGGAAGTTTCGCAGTCGTGTCTTTGCGCTTCATTTCATTGCAGCTGCCTTTCTGCGCGGTTTTGCGGCTTTTGGACCTCTTATAATAGAGTTCAAAAATGATGACAGCACAAAAATTGAGTTACGACTTGGCAAAAATATGACCACATTTGCATTGGCTCTTTCCCATCAAACCTCTGTACTTTGGTCTCTGTTCATAACTTTATGACTTTAGACATATTTGGCCAATTTTGCGTATTTGAAAGTATTTCATAGTGATCTTTTATGTTATGTTATGTTAAAATTCAAAAATTCTAAAAGTAGGTTTTTGCTGACATCTTACTTCAGAACTCTATAGGTCCCTCTGTATTGGACCATAGTCTATAGAAACGCTTCTATTGACTATGATTGGACGTAGTTGGTTCGGCTGCTTCGAGTATCTCATCTGTTCATATCCAGATCATGGGACATCACGATTGTGAACAAAATTGAAGTTTCTTTATCGGTCGAGGTCAGGTTTATCCTTTTTTCTGCTTTTTTCGCTATTATTTAACTGCAAACAAAGATAGAATCAGCACCTCTCTAAAAATTAAGCACGAGATTTTCATGAGCAGTTTACTTTTCTGTGCAAATCAAGAAGGATATCGAAAAATCCAAAACGAATCTTTTGTCGTGTAAAAGTTTAGGGTACCTAGTTGTAATCTTCAAACTTGTGAAACATGCAAAAACAAATAAATTTTTCCTTTTTTCTCCAGCACGACATTTACTTCAGCTGCGTGGTAAAGCTCCGGTCTTGTGTCCTTAAATAAGAGAATAAACATCGAGGAAACAACGTACGTTCATTTAGGCGGTGACAAGGAAACAAAATTGTAATTGTATCAAGAATATACCCATAAATCCATCATATCAAAAGTTCAGGGTATCTGAAATTTCGGTAAATTCGAAGTAGGAGGTAAGTTTTCTATACAGAGTAAAAACAGCACTGGGCCAAGAACAATACCTTGAGGTACACCATAAAAGATGGTTAGTTTTCAGATGTCTTTGCAAAGTCTACTAAGATACAGCATGACATTTTCCTTTCGATTTCTTTCGGTTGCATGTGTATTTGATTTATGTTTTAGAAACGAAACTGGTGTTTCGTAAGAATAATAGTTTTTTGAGAAAGTTAATTATTCTACTAAACACTATTTTTTCAAATCCTTTGCTGGTTGCGTTTGATGCAGACTTCGCCTTGAACAACGTTTTCTTCTTATAAAATGCCACAGTTGTTAAGCAAACGCTTGTTGCAAAATATTATAGGTTATTTGGCTGGAACAAGTCTTATAAACGAGAAAATGCCGATGTGTCAAGACACTGTGGTCTAGAGACAAAAGGCCAGAAAACCTGCCTATACACGAATCTCATACACTGATCTTGTTTACCGTAAAAGACAAATATCTTATTTAAGCCATGAAACCACAGTTCAAGACCCGAAATGACATTAATCATTAGTCCTACCCAGATAAACGAATTTCTTCCTGGTAATTTAGAAAATAACTTCCTAGTGCATTACTATAGATAGCTTGTGACTGGTTACCAAAACCGTAGTTTTTCAAAACTTGTTTATGTGACGCTTCTCAGAACAGAAAATGAATACTGGGCATATACTTCTGTGCTGCATTCTTCTTCAGGCACTGGCCTACACGCGAAGCATGGATGGAAATCAAGATCTGGGTTCCTTAGGTAATGAGAAGCACTTTCTTGTTTAACACTCTCCTTTAGCTTTTTGTTACTATATATAAGAATGAATCAAAGATATCATGAATTATGAATAGATGGTGAGAACTGCAGAAATCTTTCTGGTTGACGTGTGTTTTACCCAGCAGTACGCGAGTCCTTTCCAAGAAACTTCAAGTTTATTACAAGGATCTATAGCGAATAAGGAGAATCTGCATTAATAAGGAGAATCTGCAATAATAGAAGAACCTTAATGCCGAACTTGCAACTGCATATTATGTTAGATATTTTATTCAAACTTAGGATTTTTATCATAAACTGTACTTTGTATTCATTTTATAGAAACTTGTTTGATGTATTTTGTTTAGAAAGTTGGCCTTAATCAGCTTATATTGACGAGAACAAACTGCCAACTTTAAATCAAAGAATTAACAGTAAAAAATATGCATTAATAAGAAGAATCTGCAGTAATAAGGAGAATATGCAGTTACAAGGAGGGACCTGCATGAATAACTATATCTTTCCAACAATCATCAAGTTTGTTGAAATTTTTAGTGCGAGAATGAAGTACAAAAAAGTCCGGTGCCAAAAGTGTCGGTGGTTTGATTTTCGGTGCAAAAGATTTCGCTGAATAAAGAAATGAAACACTTTATGTAAGTTATTTCTATCTTCAACATAAAAGTACCTGGAACCAGGCGCGGATACAGAAAAAATGGGATTAGGAGTTCTGATCGATTGTGGGTTAAAAATTGAGGCATCGAAATTGAAAGTGCTGGAACGTTAGAAAGAAAGGATAAAGATAAATTATGAAGAGACAAATAAGAACTCAGATTTCTAAGATGTAGATGACAAAAGAGAAGAAAGTGAAGATGAGCTAGATATCTTATTTGTTGGTGATGAAGGAGAGCCAAAAACTGCTAATTGATTTTTATTGGAAGTAAGTTTTTTGCTAGTTAGGAAATCCATCGGTGTAAAGCGAGATTTTTCTAGCGTTTGTAAATTTTGGTAAAAAAAATTCTGTTTCAAACAGATTTGTTGGGATTAACTTTCGATTGTCGTTCTTCACCGAAAATAGATTCCACTGAAATTTTTATTACATAAAATGGAAAAAAACTACGTTGATCTAAAACGGCCAAAGCACTAGCTTTATTCACGGGACAGTTGTATATTTCAATTTATCACTGGTCACTTTTAAACTTTCATGGCAAACGGTGCCGTGAAGTGAAGACATAACATAATGTTGAAGACAAGAAACCACTGCAACACACAGAGAACAAACAACCACGAACACAAGTAAACTAATGGTAGCAATATCACGTCCCGGCATATGGGTGAGACACGTCCACAGCTTTAGAGAATGAGACATGTCGTTTTTGTCGGCAAAAGTCATTATTGTTCCCCTCCAAAAACTTTTTGGCTTCGCCCGCTTGTAGATAATGCTATACCCTTTTCTACACCCGTATATGCAAAGTCTTAATTCAAGACATGGATAAGTCGCATTGGATAGTATACTCTCGTTAAGTGGGACACTCAAGAAACCAAGCAAAAGTGTACTACTTGGCGGGCGTCCTACTTATCCCAATACTTGAAAAGGGCAAGCATGTTCAAGGGACCAGGGAAATATGTACTACATTGCAGGCGTCCTACTTATCCGGGGTCCCACTTAACGAGAGTGTACTGCATTGAAAAGAGATTATTAGAAGTTAGTTTTATTCAGAAATTTATTCTCAATTATAGGTTCTCCTGACTCTGACCTGGATAAACCACTGCAAGCTACAATGGAACAGCGTTTCAAGAATATGGAGATGACAGTGCGCAGGTTTGAGGCAGCTTTCGATGGATTGACAAAGGTCATCAGTATGAAGAAAGTCGACATCCAAAGTCGTGTTCGAGTGCTTGAGAAGAAGGTCGCTCAATTATCGAAAACACCATGGATGATGAAGAGGTTCACATACGAGTTTCCAACGTTGACGAAATCTCCACTGTCCGCAGCTAATTCTAACAGCTACCGAATACCAGCTGCTTTGTTGCCAAAGAATGCAAAAGCTGTTATCGTTGCTATCAAGTGTTCCAGTTGGAAAGAAAGGGGGTTGTCTCCAACGATGTCCATAACCTTGCAACAGAAAGGTAACACAGATGCAGGCAAAACAACACTGGATGCACCCATGAATGACTTCTACTACGAAGTATTGATGCCTTGGGATGGCTCCTATGGTAACACAATTGATATCATGGTCAACGGTAACTCCCCGAATATCTACTCGATTCGATTGGTGGGTTACATCGCATAAGGAACTTATTTGACGAACAACTTCAATTTTTCTTGTCCTAATATTTGATAGAAGAAGGGCCTAAATTTTGGGGATATTTTGTTAAAAAGATGTGTACGAGAAATTGGAAATCTGGCTTTCCATTTACTTGGCATTATCTTCATACTTGCTTTTTTGCGTGATTAAAATTCAAATGTCTATTCAAGTCTTCTTGCTTATTGATAAAGACTTCTCTTTTGGCTGCGGGAGTAGCCATAGATGCAGAGACATCGCTACTAGAGGCATAGGGGTGTAACAAACTCCCAGAAATCACTAGTATTTTTGGAGCTTCGTCGGTGAATATTTTCGAACTTGTCGGTAAATACTAGATGCCACGCTAATTATTTTGGCAAATACGACCCGGATACCCTCTTAGGCAAAATAACGAGCGACAGCCCTGCATATATGCATGAGGTTAGCTTGAATCATGGAAATGGTTTGAATAGATAAATACAGTAGGAGCAGCACATGCAAAGATGTATAAGGGGTAATTTAGGGGCGGAAAGGCATAACTCTCTAAGAGATGCTGCTGCGAACACATTGTCCGATGCAAAGGGAGCGTAGATTATGAAGAACTGAATAAAGGGTACAGGACCTGTGAACAAAGGTGACATGATAGAGCGCATGGTTCGATCGTATTCATGGTATGGTTCTTGCTCGAGTTTGTCCACCCTAGCCGACATCTACAGCTACGTGGTTGGGGGGGGGGAGGGGCAGGGAATTAAAGATATAGCTTTCTGACAAATTATTCCAAGTTTTAAGAGGGCTATAGGTACTCTGCTTCCTTGGCCACTGTGTTCCTGAACCCGGAGTAAAGCCTTTGTCGTCCATGGTGAATGACTATTTATATGCACAGGGCCTGCACCCCTGGTCCTAAACTGGAGGGACCGCAATGTAAAAATGTTTCCTCTTACCCCCTCTAGCCTTAATTATGGCAAACATTTTTCTGACAATATATCTACATAAACTATCTATATAAACTTTAATTAGCGTACTTATTTGGTTATAAGCCACGGCTTAGAACTATTTTTGGCACCAAGGCCGTAGCGAGGCAATCCTTGTTGGGGCGAGAAGGGGGGGGGGGTGTGTGTGGTCTACAAATTTGCCCGATTAAAACATATTTGCCTGAAATTCTTTAGTTGCTGTCGCAATCCTCTGCAATGCATGTTGTCAATCTAACTCTGTATATAATTCGCAACTTTCATTTTTATATGATAATAACGGACTTTCCTAATAGTTTTGTCAAATCTGTACACCGGGATGGGGAGAGGATATAATTACCATGGTTGCCGCCGAAGGAGGAGAAAGTGTTCGTATTTTGATGCTTCCAGTTCCCTGGAAAATGCATTCTTTTAATCAAATTTTACTAAGCAATCCTCCTAATCCTATCGAAAATTCTTTTATTTTTGCAAACAAATTGAACAGCAGATAAAAACAACTGGTATAATTCACCGTGGTCTTGAAAATTCCATGTTGTCAGTTACTTCTAAAGCTAGGTAACAAGCAGCACTGGTTATCAATTTAGATCGCTCTTTCCATCTTAGCAAGCCTTTTGAATAATAAAAAAATCTGGAGCTCATAGTGAATTGCAGTTGACGCTTCTACCGAGAAACTTTAGGGGTAATGGACACAAGACACCATTTTACCTAAAGAGGGCATGAATTTTTAGATTTAGTGCCAACAAGAAGTCCTCAAACTTCAAATTATTAGTTTGTTTACCTTTATTCGTATCAAGGAATATCATATTTAACCAAAGGAGCAACTACCTTTGCTTGATCGTTTATTGATTTTTATGACATGAAGGTCTCTGAAATACCTAAAGTGTTTCTTCCACCGAACGGATTTTACCTGAAATTTCCTATTGAGATACTATTGGGAGGGGGTGTGACACAGTTTTTGCAGATATAAAAAATCAATCTAGCAAATGACTCTCTCCCAAGGAAGTCCTATTGACATATTCTCATTGAAATGTTCCACCTAACAATCCTCAGCCTGGCCTAATACTTTAAGAAAAAAAGGTAACCACTTGAAAGGAATCCAATCTTATTTTAATAGTGACCAATCGTGCCCCACTTTAGGTAAATGAAAATTACCACTGTTTCCATGAAAAGTCGCCACCTAAATAAATTTAATACAACGAAAATGATTTGTGCCCGAAATCCCCGACCCGGACCTCTTCGAAGGAGCAAAAAATTTTATTCTGAAAGTGAGGTTAGGAGGCTTCCATCTAACAAATCAAGGAAAACAGATGTTTATCGCCGCAAATTTTGTTGCAGCAATGAGGAAAAATATTGTTAGCTGTGACTGATGATTTCTGAATTAAACCAATAGAATGGCTACTCAGAGTGTCTGTTCCTGCTTTGGTAATTTGAGGCCGAGATATAAAAGGCTTGTCGACAAAATATATCCGTCAGACCCACAAATGGGCCTAGTCAACTCGAACATGGCGAAGCTAACATTTTACACACTTTCAGCTCCAGAGAAGCTTGACAGAATCGGCGATTACATTTACTCAAAGCTAAATAATTATCTCTATCGCAGGAAGACATCGTAAGTTATTCCGTTTACAGTTAATGCTGTCTAAGTCTACCTTGTGCATTGCGTCTTCGTTTTTGTCTCGCCAGCCCTGTGAATTGTTAGAGTGTTTGAAGGGTAGAATCGATGAGATCCAAATCTGAATAGCAATAAGTAATTCACATGTTCAGTTGTACTATGTGCTACAAATATTAGTCTGGTAATACCTGGTGCGTGGAGAGATAGTGGGAATTAAACAACAAAAATATTTAAGAATGCCAGCAGATAATTGTTCATGAAGCTTCAGACCAACTGATTTTTTTAAATTTACACCTGAATGCTTTCAATCTTCATGAATAAGCTCCAAAAATGCTACAAAAGTTGTAATGGAGTAAGGGTTGGCATGACAATGTGGTAGAGCAATTCTTTTTCACTTCATTGACAGATGTTTGATTCAAGGTTACACAATGTTTGTTTCAAAATTATTTCAAAGAGCGTTTCCTCCTTTTCCAGAAGTTTGCATGTTATTGAAATGGCAACCCATCATTTTTAGGGGCTATGTTTTAAGGCAAGAACCCCCACTTTATGGGAACTGTGCGCTACTATGCTCGTGGCCCTATTATGCAGTCCAGGATGGAGTCCATCTATTCTTTCAGTGCTCACTCTTTCACCTTGCTCACTCTTTCACAAGAACCCTGTCACCAACAGCTCATCAACCTTCACAGATCTTTTAAACTTTGAAATGCTCTACTTTCTTCCTGTTTCCCAGACTCCAATAATCTGTGTTTATCAAAACTAAAATCAACAAACTTGACTTTTCCTGATTCATTTCTTCTCTTTAATCCAAGGCCTTCCTCTTAGCTCATTAAAAAAATCTAGGGTCAAATTGAAACTCATCTAAATACCTTGCCCAAAGAAAAAGATTTGCTACTATGCATTTATTTTCTGCCATGAGTAGGTTACTACCCTGGCGTGTATTACAAAATATCATAAAGGACCTGCCTGTTTGAGACGGGCGATCTCCCGCGTGAATCTCCACACTCGCCTTGGGTTAGCGCTCACCTCAATGTCAGTTCGCAGGTTAACCACCCGCCTTGGTCTTCCTTTCATTTCTCAACACCTCTTGAAGTAAAACTAAAAGATTGATAGGAACTTGATCCTCTATGTTTTGACTTCGAAATAACATTAATTACCTTTCAATCTCTCAGGAAGTCATCTGCTCCTGTAAACTGGTGAACTACTTTACAAGTAACGCGGAAAAAAAAAACCTTTTGTAAATGCAATAGGGAAGAGAATCCTTCGAATGGTTTCATTTTCACCAGAATGCTAATTGAAATTTCATTTGACAGGGTTGCCTCTAAGGTATTCATAATATTCCTAACACATGAAACCCAAATCTTTTCAACATGGTGAGCAACCAGAAAAATCGACTGTTGACCTAAGAACTTATATTGACAAATACGACAAAGAAGCTGTACTTTGAAGAAAAAATGAGGAGATAGATGGAAAGAAGGTGGTGACGTTTGTTTGGTGCAAACTTGGTGCTAAATAACTTTAAGTAGTTTATGAACAGCTGTGGTTTCTTATAACTTGCCATAATGTTAATTAAAGCATACAGGAGATCCCCCACTGATAGATATAACTTTTTAAGGACCAGTGAGAAACTGTCATTTCTCGAAATCTTTTAATCTTAAAACTTCCAGTAGTAGCTGAATTTATTAGTTTCACTTAATAAAATATGTGATGTTCCTGTGACAACGAGCTCGGAAATAGCAAGCCTTCAAGTACTTGAACATCAAAATGACAGTTTTCCAATGAATGCTAGTTTGTACTAATGTTATAACAAAATCACACTATGTGATTATTTACTTTTGATTCTATTCAAATCTTGTTAGTGAGAATGTTGTTTATTCATATACCTTTATTGACGATTTTCAAGAGACTAAAAATTGCCTGCCTGACATTATTGAGGAGAGTGATGTACCGCTTGCCTGCTAAAATGCTCACGGCCAGGCCTGTAGGCATGCTATATGGTTTTGAGTTAAGGGATATCTGCAACACAATCTTGTTGTTTTAAGCAATCTTGTTCAATGATGATATTTTTCAGCATTTGTGTTCAATGATCATATTTTCCAGCATTTGTGTTCAATGATTATATTTTCCAGCATTTGTTCTCTGCATTTGGTTTGTGATTCACTTCCGGCCAGACAAAAACTGATTTGGTATTTAGGAATTAAGTTGGTATTAGCATTTTCAGTTTCCTCCATCCTGATAAATGTTATTCTTTTGATTGCACCTTTCAGGTTTGTTCTAATTTCAATACAAGCAATGGATCATTTGCTTTTGGCATGCAGATCTTCAAGTCTTAACATGTTTGTTGAAAGTTTTCTTAGGATGGTCAACACTTTGCTAGAATCTTCACAGCCAGACCTTCAAATTGCAGCAACATCATCAGTAAGTTAACATGTCTTAAATTTTTATTGTTTCATTAGTTACAGCTTGGTCTATCTTAAAATCCGTGTTTCTTTACAAGACCAGAATCGGCATACCTAAACAGTGCGTCATCTTTATAAATTTCTTTTGCATAAATGCTTTGCAGGCTCAGCAGCTCCTTACTGTTCAGTTTGGATGAGAGAGCTGGAGTCTAGCTACAAAACATATTCATCTGTGCTTTTTCACTGCTTAAATAATCATGTTATCGAATTAAATTTATTTTGCTGTTGTTAACTCAAGTTAAGTAACTACTTTATTGTTTCAAGTTTACATATACAAATATATACGGGTAACCAAATTCTCTCTAGTTCACAAAGTTTGCAAACATTGAAGAGGACACTCCATCATACCACAGACGCTATGACTTTTTTGTTTCAAAATTCAGTGAAATGTGCTGGAGCAGTCATCAAAATGAGGCAATCAGAAAAAGGTACCCATATACTTTTAAATGCTGACTTTATAGGAAATAACTAATTTACCAAAATGCTGATCTGTTCTAGAGAGCTTCAAAGCATTGGCATGTGTTTTGCTTTAATTTTCAACAACTCCTTCTCTTTGATATCACTTCATTTATCAGTTTCCTTCAAATTATCTGATATGAAATTTACTACTGATTTTAATGTGCATTTCTGCATATTGCTTACTTAATTAAAAAATGTATATATTCAAACTACTTTGCTAATCTTTGTGTGCTTGTTATTCAGATAAGTGAATGTGAATGGCTATAGTAAAAAGCTATGTGATCTCCAAATGTGTCCTCTTATATCAAAATATTGATTTTTACATCGTTGAACAGCATTTCTTGATGCAGATCAGAGGCAGATCCAGACTACAGCAACCTATGCAGAAGCATTTTCACAACAAAAAAATAAAATAGAAACTGTCAAAAATTTTAATCAATAGTTTCTTTGGCAAATTCTTCAGCAACGTCCGGCCTAGATCTGCCCCCGTTGATACCAACAACATGCAGAAGACAGCAGGGTATATACTTTGCTGACTACCTCTCGGCCTCTGCACAGAATAGTCGAGTGGCGATTTTAGGCATTTATCTGGTCCGTATTTTCTGAATCCAATCTCCTCGAGAGCCAATCACCGCTTGCTTGACCTCTGCAAACGTCTTGCAAGCCAATCAGAGTGTACTTCACCTCTGCAATCTTTGGCGGGAGCATAGGTGAGATTTGATTTAGCAAATCAGAAGCTGAGCTTGCCTCTGCAGCGGCACAGCCAACCAATAGGAATCAGAGTTGACCTATGCAATTGTTGACAGTGGACCTATGCAATTGTTTGTTACAGCCAATGAAATGGCAATTGACAATCCCTGCTTCACCCCTGCTAATCTGCTAAGGAAGGAACGTGTGTTCTGTTGTCTTGTGATATTATCACTCTGTTTGAAAAGTGGAGGGCCCTGGTTCGAATCCTACCGGAGTAGATTTTCTCAATACCTTTTTTCTTCTAATTGCAGATAAATTTAATCTTCTCTTTGCGAGTTGTTTCCTTAGAATTTCTTTTGTGAATCCCCTATTCAATATCAGAGATACTAATTTTATTGAGAAAAGTTTGGGCGTTTCCAACACAAAAGGGCGTGGCTTCTCTTTCTAACAACCTTTGCATTGCATAGGTCAGAATTCAGGCTGGATCCGCGCCTGCAGATTTCATTCAATCTTTTGTGTTGGCACTAAATCTGAATCTCTGAATGGAAGTGTTCTGGTCCTTGGCTTCTATTGTCCTTACCATTTATCTTTGATTTAATGCCAAGCACTTGAATCAATTTCAGACTTTTGCTTTTGCAAGGGGGGCATGGGCTTGTTTTAAAAGTTACCAATTTTGCAAAACACTTCACGCTTTGGTATCTTTGTCTTTGATTGGCAGGGTGCTTTTTCAAGAGAGGGGCCCTTATTTAATTTAAAGTCATTTGCAAGGGTGCACCTAATTGATGATAATTGAAGCATAAATTGTAAAGGCAAAGTATGACTATTGTATGTGTCCTTTGGTTTTAGTTTAAAAGCATCAGGTATCAAAGGATTACAGGGCGTTGTTCGCAAAACTGTGAAGGATGAGCTCCAGGTATGTGGTTCTAAAACACTGTCATACAAAATTTGTGATATGTACTTGCGTTGTGAACAATAATTCCACCTTAAAATATGTTGCATTTTGAATCATTTCCCTCTTCCCTTTTTTACTTTTGTATAGAACTTTGAGAGTAAACTTTGTTTTTAAAAATGAGTGTTATCGACATGTTAAAATCAAGATTCCTTTATTTTAGGTAAATATATGGGATGATATTCACATGTGTAAGATTATACCATCACTGATGTACAATATTGATGTCAAAGCTGGTCGGTAAGTAGCAGTAAATAAATGGTAACATTTCTAGTATAGTCTAGCAGACCTCCTTTAATTAACTACGTTTCAGGTTGGTTGTTTGAAAGCAAATGATCTCGTTTCATTTTTTACAAGTCACTGTCATATCACGACTAGCCACAATGGTGTAAACATACACAACCTAGGCAAGTTATATTTTGGAGTTGAAGAGCGTGTGTCGTGAATAACTCACTCTTCAGGGGATGTAGTTATATTTCAACAACAGGCATGTAGTATTTACAGAAGCCAAAATTGACAAATTATCGAAAGTTCGAATAGGAACGAGGTTAACGGAAACGAGAATAATTCTGATACGTATTTTATAACCTCTGGTTTATAGTCTAAGATTGCCCGATTTAATTTATTCAATCCGCTTTGAAGCTTTTGAACCTATAGGCTGCAAGATGCTTTTCATCTCACAAATTTAGGAAATGAAAAAATGAAATATGCTCTTTCGCCATTAAAATAGCCGCTACATTCTTTAACCTCCTTCTACTAGACATCTAAGGATATAAGGGGACTTAACTCCACATATTTTCATGACAGGCACAAACTTTGCGATAGCATCTTTTTGATAAACACCAAAAAGTGGATGCCTTGGTTGTACCAAAAGTTACCTCTTAAGTGCCGCCCTCTTTTTAACGCCTCCATTTTTTAAGCGCCGCCCCATTTAGGCTCTCAATTTTTAGGCGTCCACCTCTTTTAAGTTCCTCAATCTTTTGAGCGCCGCCTTCTTTTTTGTTCCTCCATCCTTCAAGCGCCGCTATCTTTTTAGCTGCTCCCTCTTTTTGGCGTCTTCCTCTTTTGAACACCCTCTGTGAGATGCAGCCTTTGTCGAATATTCCGTATTCTAGGCAGAGAAAGCTGACCGGCAGTGTGGAGGCATTGTCGAACTCGAGAGATGAATGTCAGCACGACCCAGAATACTTGGCAGAATCGTGTTTGAGGGAAATTTTCAGCCGGGCAACATTCGGAAACATCACTGCTGCGCTGAAGCCAATGTTTGAGTAAGTTTCATTTGAACGACACTGATTGATAAATATATTGATTAAAATTTGAAAGAGAAGAAGTATTACAGAAAACGAGAGGGTTCCCTGGATTTTTATTAGCTTATGTCTTAAGATAAAGTATAAAAATAAGAATAATTGCTGAAAATTTTGTATCATCTGATATGCAAAATGCTATTGAAAATCAGGTCAAGGTTCTAATAACAGTTATTTTGAATTTTTTAATAATTTAATTGACTTATGATAATACTCGAATTTTTAACAGTTTTTTTTCTTTTTTTATATCATATAAAATTTTTTACAATACATGCTTACGTCTACATCCTACTATACCTTCTAATTACTTTAAAAAGTGTACACAATGATCTACTATACTAGAGGGACGGGACCACAGGGAGCAAAAGACAATGACTATCCTGTGGCCATTAACATAAAAAAGCATATAACAAGTAACAGCTAAATGAAACAATTACAGACACCTACAAATACTATTAACTACTGATAACTACTAGAATCCGTTTCACATTGGATGTTCGGTCAGCATATGAGAGGGGTGCTGGAGAATAGGAACCACGGGAGACGGAACAAAAGACAGCAGTTACTGCAGCCACTGATCCCCCTTTAGGGTCCTCATTGCTCAGCATACTGTACATACGCTGCCAGGTCAAGGTTCCAGATTCTACGATATTGATGGTCTGATATGCTTCTGATTTGTTTTAAAACGAATTATGATCCATGTGCCTAACATCAGATGTGAAACGGACTCACAAAAGAAACGGGATTTTTAACAGTTCATTTTCTCTAAGTGAACGAATTCTTTATACCCAGAACACACTGGTTTTCGTTTTAGGTACCTGGATACAAGAGAAATGTGGATTCCAAATGACTTTGCATCGCATTGCTTTGTTCTTGTAATGTACTCAATTCAGGTAATTATTGCAAAAACTACAAGTTTATTTGCTACAAAACTCATTTGCAAAAATTGTCCAGTCATCTTAACAGCTTTAATGAGATTATTTGTATTTTTATCCGGTGACATTTGTAATGCTTCTAAACATGGTATTTTTGCGTAGGCAAACATTCTAGTGATGAGCTGTCAAAGAGATGCGTAGTGAAGATTTTTTTTAGTCCCAGGGCAAGCCATTCATCATCATAGAAAGTCTTACCACCCCCCATTCAGCCATTCAATACGCTTTGTTTTACTGGATATTGAGGGGAAGCTAATTGGAGACCGCGATGTCAGTTGAAGTCAAAAGTATTTTTAAATTGTCTTTTCTCTGACAGACCTGCATCCTTACTATCCTAGTCTCTCATTAATGCTCGCATCTTTATTATTCCAGCTTTTTTATTCCAGCCTCTTTGCCATTCAAGCCTCTTTATTATTGTTGCTTCACCTATAACTCCATCTTACTTAACAGCCCCAAAAGTAACCCTGACTCGTATTTCTACACCGTTAAAAATATAATAATTTGTTTCGTATCATTTTTTTGCAGCAGCATTCAACTTTCCAAAAATAAATTTTGATTGTTATTTTGTTAAAAATAAATGGCTTGAAACATCTTTAGGAGCGTGGGTTAAAACATCTTCAGCAAAAAGCCCATCTTGTGAGATATTTTTTCTCTTTGCAGAATCAATATTCGTATAAAGTTATAGAAAGCTTGCTGCATCATCTCGACGACAAATCGGAGTGGGATCCCAACATGAAAGCCAGCATAATTGAAGTATTGTCAGCTGTTGTTAGCGTCCCTAGTGGTGGTTCTATTGGTAAGGAAATGCTTTTAGTGCATACAGTTTCTAAGGGATTTTATTCATATACAGCGAATTTTTCCTATAGGACATATCCTAGTAACTGACACCTCCAGACAGCGGCCAAATGTAAGGAACGGACACCACCAAACAGCGGACACTTCCGAAAACGGACACCTCAAAACAGTGGGAACTTCAAAACAACAAAAATCTTAAAATAACGGGCAAATGAATGCTTTCGAGAATACAAAAATCCCCAAAAAATCTCCCCTGTGATCAGTGCCTGTTAATTTTTTTCTATTTATTTTTAAAAACTTGGAAGAACTATCTACCTAAAATATTACCCACGAAGTACTAAACTACCTTACACGGATGGAGTATGTCATGACTTCCCCTTGGAATTGTACATGTATCTGATTATAACTAATATTATCACATGAAGAATTTCAATGCGATCAGTTAAGGAATTTAATGCCAGATTCTATACAAACTCTGCACTCTGGGTTTTGGATATCTGCAATAGCAATTGTAACCAAGTATATTTGACTTTATTTCTTTAACCAATTCCTTAGCATTTCTTTAAGATTTTTCGCAACAATGGCTTGTTTTTTTGCATAATTTTTTCTGCTTCTTACTTTTCTTGTTGAGAACATTTAATACAATTCATATGTTAATTCTCAGGACCCTCTGTTCTTGAAGTTTTCAATACGTTGCTGAAACATTTGGAAATTTCAGTGGATCATGAACTCGATTCAAATAGCCAACGAAAGGTATGCTATTTCATCTCAGGTTACCACATAGACAAATTCTTGGTTCTCTGGTTTTTTCATAATCGTCTGTCTCCTTTTGATTCTTATTCCATGCACTTACTTTGCTGCTTTTTTCGGTACCACAAGAACTATAGAATTCGGTTTTTGAAATTCAAAAATGTAAAAGAGTGCAAAAATCTACAAAAAGTTTTATACAGCAGATGTTTCAGTTAACAAAACGATTCTAACCAACATAACCAATAACAAGTAATGTTCAACATAGCTAACAAAAAACAATAAATATAAAGCGAAACAAAAGAATAACTATACTTAGGAAGATTAGAAGCAGTTTTACATAATAATAACAAAGATTTCCACAAAACTATCTCAGCTTGCAAACTGCAAAGAGACTCACAATGCCTGCCAAAAGTACTTGGAACACCCACCAATTTACGCTGCATTTGATATCTTTCATCCCTTTCATGAAAAAAATTGCTACTTCCGCCCCCTTCCCCCTAAAACAATGTTGATGATTTAGAAAAATATCATGAAAGAAGCGCAAAAGAAAGTGCTTCCTAAAATCCTAACCCGTTTGATAGTAAACCAACATTGTTGTATAGGGGAGATGGGGGATGATTGGTTTTGACCTTGGAAATTGATGTCAGTGTTCCAAGACTTTTGGCAGGCATTGCATCCACCCGATGTTGGAGTCCACCCGATGTTCTCTCATCTCTAGCCCTCTTAACACATAATATTGACATTAACGATATTGAATGGATTTTCAATTTGGGACTACCGAGTTGCATAAATCTTCTGCAGTTCTACAAAGCATTTTAGTGAATCAACTCTTCGAAATGGCCGAGATGAGAAAGGATATTTGGCTGGTGTAATAACGAATTTTTCTCCTTCTAGGATGGGAGAGAACAGTTGATCAAAGCTGCTATTATCAGGACTGCAGGTAAGAAATACTAATGCTTCTAATGTATCTTGAAGTACTAATTCTTGTTTGTTGTTAAGATGTTCCCTCTTGCAAGTACAAATGTTTTCTTCTTGTTGGAAAAAACAGAAAATCCAATTATTTGTCTGTATGTGCAAATATGATTCACTTTGTGTAATCGTAAACAACTTCTGTCTAAGAATATTGATTCACACCAAACGGTTTTCTGCAAAAATAGGCAATAGTTTAGTCCCGAAAGCTTTTCCCGAAGTTTAAGTCTTTGTGACTTGACAACCGGAGGGTAATGACCCATTTGCATTTGCCTGTTAGTTCTGGTCTTACAGATAACCATTATTTGAAAGTCCTATCATGGGCAGCCATGGATGGTCATTAAGCATCAAAGGCTGTAATTTTTCAGCATCTTTGCACGCAGAATGGAAAGCCACTTTGGTGTTTTTAATTTTTAGGGGATTTTTCACATGCCCTTCCTGGGTACCAACGCGTCGAGGTGATGACATTCATAGCTGCAAAAATACCAGGTCTAAATGCACCAGAGTCAACAAGAAAGAGTTTGTGCATTGGATCAAACGAAGACCTGATGCTCAATAAAACGTGAGTAATTTCAGCATTCGATGAACAATAAGTTATCAAAATCAAGCTGACTTATAGGCCTTTTGTTTCACGAATTAAAGGTTAAGAAGTTGCAAGGACTTGCAGGTTATTGTCAATAGCGAGATGCTCTTGGTAATAATGTTTTATTGACATTATAGAACTTGAATAACTTAAACATACAAAACAGATTCTCCTAGGCTATAGATTCTTAAACTCTGTTTTTTACAAGATGGTATTAAGATTTCAGGTCCTAAATGCAACGGATAGGAAATGTTTAGCTCTGATCAAACGATCCAACATTTCACCCAACATTTCGCCCAACATGTTGGATCGCTTGACCGGGGCTTTATGGTTCTCCCATTATGTTCCACAGATAGGCGATAAACTCATACTTTGCTCAATCGATTCAACATCAAAAAGCCGGCATGCTTCGAAGTATAGCGATTTTTGTAGAAAAACAGATTATTTTCAACATTTCATTTTGTAAATTTTAGCGGATTGCTAAATTCAGGGGCTCTCTTATCAAAAACTTTTAAAAGAATGGAAATGCTATGAAAACACACTGCTATCAATAGATTCTTTAAAATCAATTTTAAGATTTCAGTTTGAAGTGGGTGAGCTTTTGAAGAAAAAAATCAGCATCATCGTTATTTCAAATGTTTGTTCTGAGTTAGGTTGAGGTGCATGTTAGTAACAAAGTATTATCTACAAATATTAACAAACATTTTGTTTTTCTTAGAGATGAAAGCATTTCTGTTCATCAGACACAAATGTTCAGAGTTCTTCTCGCGGTAGGTACAACATAAAAACAAGTTAAGCATCAGAATATTTAAGTTTTTAATTAAAGTTTCATGTATTATATTCGTTTACTTTGATATTAGTGTTTATATTGGAATAAGGATGATTTTTCAGACAGTCGATATTAAATTTGTTTATGTTGCTATGTACCTGGACGGGCGCAATAGGTTTATAAACGGTTGAGCCTATGACCCAATTGACTTTTAGCAAATTATTAGATGAATAGTACGCAAGCTCTGAGTTTAGTCAAACGAATCCTCAAAATGCGACTATAAAATAAGTGTTTGGTCATTTCCTGTTACTGCAGGTGGCAGAGAAGCACATCAACATGCCGTTCCAGTCCACACTTCCAGCTAGCTTTCTGGATTTTCTTCTAAGAGGTTTCGTGCAAGCAGATCAAGGTAAGTTTCTGGATAGCTGTTTGTATTCCATTTGTGAAAATATGAAATGTCTTTCTGAGTCGTTAAGAAAACTGTTCATGACCCTACTTCTATCTGTTTTATTTGATTTCTATTTCACTGAATTAATTCCCATCCAGATTATTCTAGTTACCAGCCCTTTTTATCACCAAATTTATAACCGAAAATGTGAATGCATTCCTACAAGAGAGTTTAAGCTGAATTACAACGACTCGTTGCTATGCGTTATCTGAGCACAACAATGTGTAACTGGCGTTGGAACCTGGCAGTAAAATTATTCATGGTCCTACTAATGAAAGTCGACCCGCACATTATCACCTGTACAACGTTATCAACCTGACGAGCAGTCAAGCATGTTTTCTTAACTCTGCAAAGAAAAAGCATTTAAGAATGTTTTTTGAATAGTTTGATTCGCTGTTGAATTAATTCATATCGAATTGAATCAATTGCTTTAATTCGTAGTTTAATGTTACATAAGTAATCTATGTATCTTATACTTACCAGCAAATCAAAGTATCATTAGTGTAAAGAGTGATTTATTTCTTTTTTAGATGTTCGACTTTTTGCTCTTAAAGTATTTGCCAACCTTCTTGACCGTCAGAACAATTCCCAAAAAATTGACAAATTAATGTGAGTTGCCTTAATAGAACCTCTTTCGATGTTCGTTTCGTTGTCTTTTTCTCGATTTTTTAGTTTTTCATGCTTATTTTATGCAATTATTTCGTTTATCAGTGTTGCATTTTACGTGGCTTTTAGATTTACGTCAGAAGAAACACATACACGAATGAAGATTGATAATGGCCTATTGGAAGTGTCTTAAGACAGAAATACGGTCAAGCCTGTTGATAATGTTGAGAGCGACTGATAGCATAAGACTTCAATGACTGAACTGGCACCTTAAACCTTAGTTTAATGTTCATTTTTTAGATCTACATTGACTTTTAACGTTTTTGTACATTAACGTTTTAGCTTTTCTAAATAGTCAAAGCTACACCCTGAGATAGTCTAAGGATACGCCCTAGGATTATTGTATTTGTTTGTTTGTTTTATTTGTTTCTTTGCTTTTCTTGATAAGCCTTCTCCGTCTATATTCTTACCTGAGTTAATTCTGCTATCTTTGAGTAATTTGGTGCCAAATCTACTTCATACTTTTCTCCTATTTCAAATGGTTTTATACTTTAGATCGTTAATAGTTTTATTCAGTACTGACCTACTCTAGTAAATTTGTCTGCCTTTCTTAAAACTTTCAACAGCGACAAGGTTGCTGATGCTGAAACAGAACTGGAATTTTCAATCGAAAGATGCACAAAGAAAGACTCTGTTTTCATTCGCAAGGTATTAGCTTGATTTGGCGGTTAAGTTAGTGATCCATCGCTGTATTTATTTATCTGAGTCACAACTGTAGCGTTTATGTTTGAAAACGAGTGGTAGCTTCTGTGATTAATCCAAGCTGCATCTTATTTTGATTGTATAGAGAAAGACTTGCAGGTCTTTTTTATTCTGCAGAACACTGGGTTTCTTTTAAATTTAGGCCGGTATTTAATACGATTGCAGGTTTTTTGTTATGTATTAACAAGTACTTTGTCCATTCTATTCAAGTCGAAGCCTACTACAGGATCTAAGCATGCTAATATTATATATTTTTAAGCAGCACTTGCCCAAGGGAAAAGTTGGGAAAGTGTTTGCGATTGTCTTCTGATTTTATACTTTTGAAGGCTTTTTTTCTGAATCAATTTTATTGTGACTATATTTCTATTTTCATTTCAAAAACTAGCTGTTTCAAAATTAAGAGTTATATTTAAGCTTTCAATTTTTACTAGCAAAATTTTCGATCAAAGGCACAATGGAAGGTCGACGCTTTTTCTTAAAATCACAATTAAACGTCTTTGTTTATAAAAAGTGTTGAGAATTGTTCTGCTTTCTGACCAACGATTAAATTCAGCAAGTCACCTTGTTTTGATGCTTCTTGTATTCATCCATTCAACTAAAAACAGGAAAGTTTCTCTGAAAGTAGAAGTTTCTAGCTAAAGATCTATTTTGAAAATTGAACTCATTATTTTAGGTTTGCTATTACAATTTTCCCTCCGTTTTCTAGAACTCACAACAGACCTACTTCTACTTGTACCAAACAGCCAAAGCGATCTCTAACACATATGTCAATTACCGTGTTATATCGAAAATTATATGTTTATTGGCTCTGGAGTTTGGGGAAGCCGAAGTTATTGTCGAACTGGCTGGATTCGTCTTTGGATTACAAGTAAGAGCTGATTTTTGTATATTGCTTTTCAGAATAAAGAATATTGCGCCCAACTCAAGATATTCTAATACAACATATAGTCTTTTGTCTTTATTTACCTTTTCCCTTTGTCTTAATCATTTTTTTCTTGCTTGCTACATCATGCTATTTTGTAATCACCGTCTTGTTTTTATCTGCCTTTCCTCCACTTCCATTTATTTCTTGTTAATAAATGATTATGTTTTCTGTTTTGTTTCTGCCATGCCATTCTTTTCTTATTCATTCCTTCTTTGTCACAGTCACTTTCATCATTTTTTCTTCGTTCTTTCCATCTTTCACTAATTTTTCTTATTAATTTGACTAATAGCCTTCTAAATAACTGGTTTATAACCTTCGTTGTACATGATATATTTCAAACGCTGCTCTTAGCAAAACTTTTACCAAATTGTTTTTAATAATTAATTTGAAAGTGAAATTGTGAGATTGATTTTTTAACAGAACATTTTTTTGTCTATGTCTTACCCTCATGTTAAATGTTCCATAATTTTTCCTATTGATTAAGACCAACGATCCTTTTAATTATCCCTAAATAATAACTTATTGCTTAAAAATTTTTGATAAATCATTCTCTCCCTAGGATTTAGCTAAAAAGGAAGACACTAATCAGACGATGGGACAAAAAATCTGCATCCACTCTACTGTTTCCATGGCACTTAGAGTAATCTGCGATCTTACTGCAATTGGTGATTTGAGACAGCATTTCTTGCAGGTATATTCATTTTCATATACTTTTATGTAATATTATATTATATCTTACTATTTTCATGTACTTTTATCCTACACATGGTGTGATTTTATGTCACTTTTGCTCCAAGGAGAAAAGCAGGAACGGGATGGGCTCTTGCCGTCATATTCAAAGCACCCAGGATAACAAATACTTTCTGCATTTCAGACACAAAAATACCCAATAATTACCATTTTTAGTAAGGCAATATTTCTATGAATCATTTTACAGCTATTTCTATACCTCAATAACTTTTGCAAGAACAGTGCACCTGTATAAATTATCAGCCAGCAGAGGAACCCAAAGATTTTGCTATTTTAATAAGAGAATACTGTAAGAAAATACATGCAGAATAAATTGTGGTTAGATGCTGCTGAAGGTTTTAATTCATGTCAAACTTTGTGTTTCCTATTTCAAAGATATAGGCCATTACACGGCATTTCAGTAACTGCCGGATCGATGACATCGAATTATTTCCAAAAGGATGGGATACAATGAACAGCTTAAAATATAAGTTGTTTCTCATGGAAAATCCTTTTTCCGTCAAAGTTTTCTTTCTTTTTCAAGGTTATGGCTCGAAGGAAAGAACACTATCCATTCTTGTTACCAAGCAACGCTCTAAGTGTTGAACTTAGCCTCGATTCTACGCACAAACTATCTGACTTTGCGTATTTTGACCGCCATCTTGTTATCAACACACTGAAGATGAGTGGCTACGATACAAGTCCTATCGATATACCGTATAACCCATCGCCTATACCAGGTTCGTGTGCTTTGGTGGTTGTATTCCTTGTAAGAAGTCGCCAGAGACATTATGCTTCAAGATACATTGCCTTTTCTGATCTTTTTCTTACAGGGTAAAATAATCTTATTCTTTATGACAGACAATAATGTTCATCTGGTTTGCTAGAAGGTCTAGGAGAGATTTTTGTAGCTTTTTAAGAAATTATTAACTAGTGAATTTTATGACCCTTGATTTGTGTAATTTATTAAATACAGTGACATGCACACAGTTTAATCTATTTTCGAAAGATGTACATTATTGGTCGTATTTGGCCACTTGTTCGACTATTCATAATCTTTGTTCGAAGATTTCAAACTGCAAAATAAGTGCCAACATTGCAACGTCAATTAACATTGTAAAAAGGTTTTATTCATTCCACTTCTTATTGTATTTAAGATTACCGTACCTCGTAGAATATTCAGTGAATAATGATTTATCTGCTGAAATACATTTTCAGACAAACTGTAATTTGTTTGAAAGCAAAGTGCTAAAAAATTAAATGATAATTTTTTGCTTAGCTCGCACATCATCTGTGGCTTCGCTTGCTGATACTCTCCCAATGCTGCGACACGAATCATCTGGAAGTTTCCCTTCTATTCCTGCAAAGGTAATATGATTGTCTTACAAAAACGTACACTGAACGACTAACAATTGAAGCTTCAAGAGAACGAAACACCGAATTATCAAAAGCGCGAATTTTTAGCGGCTAACACTGTTGCCCAACGCCACAGAGAGCAGACATGTATTGGTTCAAAGCCTCCAAACCTTACAAGCTGTCAAGCAACAAGAGAAATTAATAAGAATTAAATTTAGGGGCCAAGAAGGCATAGGTACCTTAAAAATTAGTATTTGCTCCAAATAGATAAAGTCATAAGTATAACAAAGTCAAATTATAGTTTTCTCACATTGGCAAGAAGAATGATTAGTATTGTTTCTTTCTCTCTAAGTTTCAAATGTTGTACAGGTTTTTTTGTCAAGCGATTAAAAACTAACACAATAGAATATGCCATTCATACCCAAAAAAGACACATGGTCACCGAGTTCTGGCTATGAATGGTACTAAAATATACAACATTAAATTGTACTTACTAACAAAAAGAAATGAACACAATAATTAGAAAGATTAAGAAGTACCATAGTAGCCTCAGTAATAACGCTATTTTCTATCACATTACAACAGGGGTTTCCATATAGAAAAGAGTGTACAGGAGCTGCTTCAAATCTCAGAAGAAAACTTTGTAGACTTGTTCTTGGTATTTGAGATCTTAGGAGAGCTGATCGCCGATTGGTGAATAAACAGGAGATATAACGCTTAAATAAGATGCTATGTAGATAAGATGATAATAGAAATAACAGAAGCCTGTGGGCTGCTAATAGGTCTTCTGGTTTCAGAACGTAATTCCCGCTTCGATATCAAATGTCTTCCGAAAGTTTGCGTAAAATATTTATATTTAGTGTTAATTACATTTATTTTGTTTCTTATTCTAGATTGAGACTAAAAAGATTACATATGAGGATCTGAAAAACACTTTAAGTGAGTAGCAGTGCTTTTATTTCTATTTCATCTCAGTTGCATGAGATTTGAATTGCAAAGCTGAAAGAGTATCTTTAAATATATAAGGTGTACGCATCTTAGTTGCAGCTTTTTTTATCTGAAATATCTGGAGAAAACAAACAATTTTCATAAAATTATGGGTTTCTTCTCCTTCCTCTCATGCCAAAATAAAATGTAGACTTCTTATAATCGATTTCTGTATGCATCAAATATCAACATTGATTCGCGGGACAACTAGTAAGGAGGATAGGTGTATCTGACTTTCTCTGAAATACTTCAAAATTTCTGTCTCTGAATTACTTTTTATTTCAATAAGCATCAAAACACCAACAGTAATGCTCAGTAGCCTGCGTCCTTGTCCTGCCTCTTGATTTGTACAAACGGTAATCATTGCAGCCTGGTGACGTCCATTGGTGTAAATGAGAACAAAAAAATTAATGTAAAAAGTCTCAAATGTGGCTATCTAAATCAATGTTTTGCTTTGTAGTGTCGTACAGAAATGTAATATGATCTCAGTCCAAAACAAACCAATCCCCTCTCAGTACCAAGTTTTCAGGCTACTTATCATAAATCAGAAAATCTGCAGTTATTAAACGATCTTAGGCCTCGAACAATGGACAGAGTGTGAGTACGGAATGACACTTATAGGCTACTTGATGCCATGTCATCCTTTTCACAACATTTTGAACTTTTCTTGTACATACATTATACAATGCAATGCCTTTTAACAGGACGCGACGAAAACAAAAAGCCTCCGACAACATTGAATTTCAATAAAGCCACCTTCGAAGAGATTGCAACTCATTCAGACAGAATTGTGAGAAAAATATTAATTTATTATTGACTGCTTTGAAGTTTTATCTTGTTTTCTTAAAAAATCTGATAATATTGTCAGTATTATTGATATTTTTATCGCTAATGAAAATTAGCATACTCTATTTGGTAGAGTCTTAACATTAGTATTTCAGTTAACTTTCATTGCAGATACAATAGCCATTCTTTCTTATTTAACTATCAGACCTTTTTTGAAACGTCAAAACAAACGAATTTAGAAAAGAGTTCAGTCGAATCTCGTTAAGTCGTACCCCGGATATGTCGCTTTTTTCTTAAGTCGGATTGATTTTTAATTTCCATTGGATTTTTCTACATTACCGTAAATCCTCGAATTAGCCCCCTGGGGGCTTATTTATTTTTGATATTTTTGGATGGGGGCTTATTCGAGGGGGGGTCTTATACAAGGGGGGGGGGGCTTATAAAATTATTGTAGACATTAAGAAGACATTATTAAAAGACCTCGTTTATTTTAATAGAAAGTTCTTTATGAGCATTTAATTAATTACTACCAAAAGTATGAATTTGTTGTGGTAATTCAATAAAACGCCATAGGCAACCTCAGATGGCAAAAATCATCAAATTGAGGGGTCCAATTTGAGAATTAACGGTAGCAGTGGGGGCTTATTCCAGTAGGGGATTATTCGAGGGGGGCAGTTCGAGGATTTACGGTATTCATTTAAAATGCTTATTCCGGATAAGTCATACAATCGCTAAGTCGGGTCATTTCCTCATCTCTTTGATGGTCTGACTTACAACGGTACCAGAAAATATTGTGGCAGAAGGACCTAAGGCGGAGTTTTTGCTGTAAAATTTTATTCTTAGTTCTTAAATCATGGTTTGGAGAGGTACATCATGGTAAATGATGATACTTTCTTTTAAAACATTGCTTCTTATAGCGTAATTGATCAATTTTTTTGGATTTGTCTTACTAGCATAGCGACAGTCAAACAAAAATTGCAAGAGTTTTGGAAACAGTGTGCAGGTGAGTATTATTTGAAATATTTTGATTTCGATTGGGCTTATATTTACTTAAACCTACTAGGAAAAATGCACCTGTTTTTAGAAAAAAATCTTTATTCTTAATTCCTTAGAAGGCATGTTTACGTTTGGGTACAGTTATTAACGTGTTTTGTAACTTCTGCTTACCAGAAATCTCGGCTGACTTAAAGGCAATATTTTCAAAACCGGCCTAATATCGTACTGCATGAAAATACAAAACATAATCGATTTCTCAAGACAACTGCCGCTAAGCATGCCGTTTGCGCAAGAGGCTTTAATAAAGTGTTTCCAACAGGCAAAATGAGAACATTTTCTATAGTTTACTTTTAGGTAGTATGGCTGAGGGAGACTTTTTGTTGATTTGAAAACCCTATTGAGGCCTTGTAGATGTGGTTCTGGGGGCCCATTTCTACTATTAGCCCCTTAGTTTTATCTATGACCATGAAAACAAACCAAAACTCAGATTTTGGGATAGTTAGAGGGTCATGGTGGCCAACCTTCTGATAGAAGATGGTACCTGATGATGATGATTAAAGCCGTACTTTTTTTAAGATTGTATTTAAGTATTGTAGAAATTTCCATACTTAAGGTTACCACCGATTTCTTGCAGAAGAGTCTCTGGATTTCGCAAATAGGCTACAAGAATTTCTTATAAACCATTTCTTATAGTAATTAATTATACCATAAATGGTTGATTGTTAAAGTATGATTTTTTTGATCGACATAAGGTTTAATTGATTAAATTTTAGTTCTTTGCTAATTTTGATTAATTAACGGGTCTGAAAAAATTGTCCTGGGATTTAAATTCTTTGCTAATTTTCAACCGAAATGCAAAGTTTGGCAGATTTCACACAATTTAGATTTGAGAAAGCCTGTTGTAAGTTGCGAGTCAGGTATAAAATGGCATCAAAAGTAAGAAACCCATCTTATACATACAATGCCGTTTATTGTAAAATAGATGTTTTGTTGTGGAAATGGCATTCTAGTAGCATAGCTAAGAAATCATACTGGCGATATGTTACACAAAAGAAAGCTTCTTTCTCAATCCCTTTTTTAAATAGATTAATTTCTTTTTTTACACAGGAACACTGGACCAAGGAAACCTGATCTTGGAAATGACTTGTTTACAATAAAATTACCGAGCCTGTACATTTATTAGTCTATTTGGTAGAAAACTTAGTTTTTAGCTTATGTATAAAGACTGGTGAAAAGTTTGTGACAGTATTCAATATAGTATTATGTTTTGGTTTGCTGTCATAAATGTTGGACCGTATAGAAATAGAGAAACAAATTTTAATTTAATGCTTTATATCATGTAATTGATTTTAATTTAAATAGTCGACTATGAATTGCAGTCATTTGCAATATTGAATCTCAGTCTATGTTTCTAAATGCATTTCTTCTCTCTTTTTACAGTGTTAATCTTCCAATAAATAAAATCCATAAGTTCATATGTTTGTTCAAATGTTTATTCTTTATCTCGCGAGACCGTTTGAAACGAAATATTTTCATTCAAAATATACAACTGCTTCAAAATCGGTTACAACCCTTTCATTTAAGCGCAAGACACTACATAGTAATGTAGGCCAGGATGTGATATATAGAGCTTACACAGTGTATTTAATTACGCTATCTCTCACGAACACCAACAAGACCCCGTTTCAACGATACGGTATAGAATAAAATTGTTACAACAATGTATTGCACTTACACGGAGACATTGTTGAATTCAAGCTGTCGACACGGAGACTGTCGACACGCATTCACTTCACTATGTTATGCATACAGTAAAATAAATATTAGCAAAAAAGATTTCTCTCGTGTATTGTCAGAATGTTCGATTTAGAAGAACTTACAGAAATCAATGCAACGCATGCAAACATTATGAATGTCTTCAAGTCCTTAACAAGCTTGCATAAATCACAGCTCTCACAAAATGGCCTTTGTTATGCTGTTTCAACACATGACAGGCTTTGAAACTATAATTGTCTTATGAAACGAAATTAGAAAATAACGAAAAAGTATTCCCTGCATCTGAAAGTGATAATTCGAGTTGGGTGCTGAAGCCGCAAACTTTAACATAGTATTTAAACCCAACAACCCTTAGGGGTTAGCCTTCAGACCCCCAGCCCCTGGCCTGAAATGAAAATCGATCTTTTTCGAACATTGTCCTAATTTAGATACTTATGTGTGAAAAGATGACAAATCTGTTTAATAACCCGATAAGTTTTGTCATATTGTTTGCTGACATTATTGATTTCTATGTTTTCTTGCTCTTAGAAAGAGCTTTAAAAGACACGCAATAGTCGAACCTCAGTAGTCCAAATGAATTTTTAAACATCTAAAATTCAAAGTTAATGCAAACAGTCAGCTCCATTTCCCACATTAGAATTTTAAAGACATTGCTTTTTTGATACATATTTCATTGCTCATTTTTCTTATACTTCTTTTATTGCTCGTGTTTTTACCAGCTATCTAATCAATTCTTGCAGTTGATCCCCATGTTATAATGAGACTATACATTACTTAAATGGGAAGTACGTTTAAATATTTATGTTATGCCATGTTGATACAATTAAAACTTTTTAGCCTACAGCTACAGCAACAACATTTCCATAAACTGGCCTGGGTCCTAGTTGTTGTTTATACGTCTCTATGGCGCGGATACCAATTGTGGCGAAGAAATGTTCATTTGGAGAAAAGTTATAAATCATTTCATTATAGAAGCTGATTTTTCATACTGAAGGAAGCCTTTGATACAATTTATTAAAATCGCTTGTTAGTTGCTTCAGTGGTGGACTTTCCTGTTTGCAAATTTAAAAGATGCATGCATGAGATTAGGCCACCTTATGCATATCTTCGCGTTGACAACTGGAATTAAAGCAAATACGATCGCTCATTCTTGCTAGTACAGAGGAAAATAGATATTAGAGGCGTCCCTACTTTGCTATCGCATCTCGGAATAGCCTGCAGTACAAAAATTTGGAAAGATGGGCCTAGAAAGAGGTTTGTTTACTGTATCCTATTCTGTGTTTTCATGCTTATGTAGATAGATTCCAAAACTGTTAAATGAAACGATGATCGGGGTCTACCAATAATCCAAAAAACCGCGCTATTATGTAGACAGAAGGAGTTCATTTTCACCTTAGGACTTCATTGGTGCCTATATCATATTCAGGAAAATTGTATTTCTATTCATAACACAGAGGCCTATCGCAATGCAACATGATTTCAGTAACAGAAAGGATAAATGGATAAACGAATCAGTGAACATTAACCAATGGAATATTATTAAATTTAATTACTGTTCTAGTTGCAAGCTTCTGAAAAAAATGTAGAAAACTGATACACTCAACTTCTGATAGCATATACCATGAAAGCATACAACATTTTAAGAATTGTGTAAATAGAACTCTGTTTCAGTCCTATATGATTTTCATTGCATATTGGTGTTGATTTTCAAAATGTGTTCTAGCATGATGATCTAACAAGGTAAGAATCTAGGGTGATTGATTCCTTCATTCAGTGTGCAGCAATAACAACTATTCTAGCAAAAGCTTCTTGCTTCATTTAGTTTAACTTTTTGTTTTATATATAATATCTCTAAAAGGTCTAGGTGATGTTAAAGATGAGCTGCAGATGTTCATAGAGTCACAGAAAAGAAAAGTGGACAGTGATAAAAGAGAGTTGATGAAAGCTCAAGATGCACTAAGTCCAAGAGACAACCAGGTTACAATAAGCATTTCTTACTGTCCAATTTGTAATTTTCACCCTGCTTGCTGAAAGCAAGTGACCCTTCAATGGGTCTCCTAAATAGATTTGTTATAGATGACACACATATCACATCCATTTTAAACCTGTGGTCACTTAGAGTTCCTTGCAAGTAGCATTGAACGTACCACAAGTGACAGAGCATGAAATCAATTAAGGTTTTTCAATGGAGACAATTGATGGGATCCAAGTGATTTAATGCAAGTCTGTCTCATACATTGATTTGATTTCATTAAATGATGCTTAAGAAATTCACTGTTCATAACAGTTTATTGAACAATGTAACAGCTTTATATCTATGATGTTAATTGCTGTATCAGAATTATTGATTATTTTTTACAGCCTAGTAGAATTTCAGACAATGCATCACAACAAGGTCACAAGTTCAGGTACTTTTTATCCATTTATTAACATAAAATAATTTATTTCAAGATGTTTTTTAAGGATATGTCAGGCCTGGCCGTTTGTATTTTTATAGGTGAGCTGTGAATCACTCCCCTCATTTTCTGAGGCGAGCTTAATCAGTAACACATAGAATATACTTTAAAGACAATCAACAGATGATTTAATAAGCCCCTTTAGTATCTGTCGGTTGCCTTTAATAGCCTCAGTCAGGAGTGTGCTGTTTTACTTCTTTCAATTTGCATTTGCTTTAACCGTGACTTAGGCACCCCCTTTACTTGAAGTATTTAAAAGAACAGACTCTCTCCGTTTTATGTAAAGCTGGCATAACACAAAAACAACAATTCTCTTGCAAAACAATCTTTTTGTTGCACAGAATTTGAAAATGGCTTTAAAAAACAAATTTTGAAACAAACTTAATTATACGTCTAGCACTCTTCAGAGAATAAAACGTCAGAACATAGATGGAAAACTCTACGCTAAAATACCCAGTTTTGGATCGAAATACAAAAGCAGTCGGCCATGTTTATATAGTAGATAGATTCACAAACTGCTACATAGATGGAACGATGATCAGGCTTTGCCAAAATGCGAAACATGTCGCCGTTATAGTTTTTACCCAATCTGGGTTTTTCAGTAAATGCTGCTGGATAGTGGAAATCCATGTTTTGGTTGTCGTTTTTGATCTGCAAGACAGAGTACCCTGTTCTCTTTGAGGGATAGTTTTGTTTCTATTGCTGGAAGGGACCTGCTGTCTTATTATATCCCAATCTACAATTCCTACCCATTTCTTCGACTTTCCTTCCAAAAATATTCCTGTTTTCTTAAGATTGAAAGGTTCTAATCGCTACAAACGTACCTTTCGGTTAACTATCCTTTTCCAAATAGATCAAAGTTTATGCCTATCATAACAAAAGCCGCCTAACAAGCAAAAAGTTAATTGCAAAAAATGCAGTGACGGGAGAAATCGCTGTTACAAAAATAAGCCAATTAACCCGTTTTCAGGGTTCTCTGAATAGGAAAAGGGCAAATGAATGGAAATTTTAGGGGAGCGATTCTCCCTTCATGTTCTGTTTAGGGGAGTAATTCATAGCTCGCCTCAGGTTGCAAGGGGAGCGTGGAGGCGAGCGCGAGCTATCGCTCGCCTCAAACGGCCAGGCCTGGATATGTATCATGGAGGATAAATCAATCTCTGTTTTCAGACAGAACACAAGCTGAAATATAATATTGAGCATGTTTAGTTTAAAGAACTTCAATTATTCAATTATTTAGTTTAAAGAACAGTAATGTTTCCATAGAGTGTAAGCTAAAAAATCAATTTTTCTGTTCAACCTTTTTATTTTCTAGCAACAAGTCTGCAGATGCAGAAGCTGGTATGTAACTGCTTCACAATTTGCATACAGATAACAGATTCAAATTTATGATTAGAATTATTTTATCTAAGTGGGCTGTATTTCAGAGAAAATTGTGTCATGTTTAGTTTCAAGTTTTTTTTATTTTCAGTTTCTTTCTTTTTTCCAAGAAATTCTAAAATTTAGCATAACACATGAATTAGGACACATTAGGGTAAAAACATGTCAAATGTAATCATTATCTCCTTAGTTCCCAAAATTATTGGGAATACTGAACTGCAACCAGTTGTAGGATTTATTATGTTAGATGTGGTTCCACTTGCCTGTTATATATCTTTTGTACTATATTTTAAAGCATAAGACATCTGATCATGATAGTGCATTGTTTGTAGTACTATTGGACTGGAGATAGAGGAGGTGAAATGTTTCCTAACTAGCATACGTTTCTCACAATAATGATGACATTATGCTAAAAACAGGGACAGAAATTGTGGGGTTGTAGGAGGGCAGGGCAGATCCCCTTTTAGCTTTTGCTGATTTAGCAGTTTAAACATAGTTTTATTGCTTTTGTGGGTAAATTTTGTCATTAGTTGGCAAATTTGCTTGGTTTTGGAGCAGAATGAAAAATATTGCTGCCTTTACCTGAAAAACTGAATTTCCACCTCTGCCAAAAAAGATAGGTTGTTTAGTTGTTAAGGCATAATCAACAAAATTCAGCTAAAATTACTTTAGCTAAAAACTGATACTGATAGTTGCATATTCAAGAGCTCCAGATATGTGAATCACAATAAATTGTCAAATGAAGGAGAACATTTAAGCAATGTTCTTTATTCTTGGCAGTCTTGCAGCCTTCTTTGAAGGCTAGATAGAGTCATCTAGAGTCAAATAGAGTCAAAAAGAGTCAAAGATAAAATGCAGATATTTGAAATTGTGCACATAAAGTTACTAACAACAACAAGACACTGCTTGTAAATTTTTTTTAGCTCACTAGAGATACATACCTTGTGTGTGTCTGAAAATACTCCAATGTTATGTTTTTACATAAACTGATACACAAATTGATTTTAGACTATCAATCTGGTTTACCACTTGGACAATATGAACTTAGAAAAAAGGCCATGAGAGATGAAAGAGTCAGGGATTATAAGAAATATGCTGCTGAGGTGATACATATTTCTTTTATCCATGCTAATTACATTTTGAAATCATAGTATTTGATTTGAAATCATAGTATTGATTTGAAATCATAGTATTGATTTGAAATCATAGTATTGATTTGAAATCATAGTATTGATTTGAAATCATAGTATTGATTTGAAATCATAGTATTGATTTGAAATCATAGTATTGATTTGAAATCATAGTATTTTGTGCTCAGTCTTTTCGATAGATTTTTGCAAATAGATAAACTCTTGTGTCATTATTACCAATTTTTTATTTTGCTAGACAATCTAAAGAAAAAAGGTTTGAATACCTCATGAACATCCAGTCTATATCATTTTGATTGACAAGCTTCTAATATATCAAAGCTTTAAACTATTTGTCTATTGTTTTGAGGAACTTTTGTTTGACTATACTTTGATAGAAATTTCATTGTCTGTTAAAGAAGTTTCCATTGATAATTCATGCTTCTATATATGATATTCCTGCTACATATATACTTGAAATTTTTAAAATCTTTACAGAAAGAGTTACGGAGGACTGGGAAAATAGATCCATCTCTTTTGGAAGGTGCCAGTCCTAGAGCAGGCAACAGAAAGGTAGGTTTTGTTGCCAATAGATGTACATTTTTATGATTATATCAATTTATAATTATTCTGTATTAAGAAATCTGGCACTCTTGAAAATTACTTGAAGATAAATGGTCAGATTATAATAATTAGATGAATGGGTTAGATATTACCAGATCTATTACATAGACCCATTAGAATACAGACTGACACTGTTGTCTTTAGTATTTAGCAAGTTGGTACTTTTGTACTCTATATCTTCAGTAACAGTTGATATTCTGATTGGGTTTTTTGATTGCTTCTGTTTTCATAAAAATTTTTTAGTTATGCTTACTCAATTTTGTAGGCAAGAGATGAAACTTCCAGGCGGAGTGAAGGTCTATAATTTTTTGCTTTGTGTTCTACTATTTGAGACAACTGATTCATACTTTGTGCAATATTCAATTTAAGCGTGCTTAGCATCGATATTGTCTTGCCGTCCTTGTCCATTAAAAGAAAAATTATCAGGGTCTGTCTGATAGCACTCTTGTTTTTTATTAGAAAACCTTTTGTTGGCTCGTTTGACTTCAGTGCTACCTATCGCCTATTTTAAAATCCGCAAATTACACGATCGCCCCTCCTATATTCTATTGACATGTACATACCTCTCTCCCTTGTCATGATGGTTTCCCATGGCATGCACTTCCACTCTAATAGGCACTTTTCATTTGTACGTATGGCATACAAGAATGACTTTTGTATTTTTTTTTCTCTTGACAACATTTTGGTGAAAGATTCTCCGTATGTCACATCTATTCTAAATTACTGCTTCCCTCTTAGTCACCACTCCTGATATTGTGGATGCGTATGCTGCTCTTCTGAGAAAAAAGCGTGCCGAAGAAAGGGCATACAGGTATGCGAAGTTTCTTTATTTTATCAACTGCAATTTATCGCACTGCAGAAGCATTTTGTTGCCTTATTGTGCAAAGTAAAGCATGAAGTCACATTTTCAAAATGTTGCACTTGCTTTTGAACGACAACCAGGGCTACTCTTGTTTTGAGCGACAATCAGAACAAATCTTTGATTGGCTTAGAGATTTTAATTCTCAATATCATATTGACCAATCAGAACTCTAGAATTTGACAACAAACGTGTCATCCTACTAGATTTCGAAAGCCTATTTTATACGTTCATTGTTTTGTGTATTGGTAAAAATAGGCCTAGATCTAGCTGCAATGCTCGTTTTATCAGATTCTTGAACTATGATTGGTTATTACGATATCGAGAATGTAAGTTTCTCAGCCAATCAAAGATTTAAAACCTATGCTTATGTAGAGTTGATGAAGCATACAGTCAACACAATAAAAACCTTATGAGCATACAGTCAACACATTTCTTACATGCATCACTACCATGAACTACCTTAGGGATTAGTAAATATTATTTGTATGTTAGTTATTACTTGAGATCGCTTCAACTATTGCTTTTGTTTTTAGAGAGAATTATGATGATCCAGAAGTGACAAATGACAGGCAAGTTTCAACCCAGTGTAATTTGTATATGGCAATTCTTTTAATATACCTTTCAATGCTTGCCTATTTGCTATGTCTTCTTAGTTGCTGGATTATTGTCAGAAGAGGTTGTCTTTTATCCAGATATTTCAAATCTTTCAAAATAAAATAAAAATGTCTGAGATATTATGAACAAAAGGAGTCTGTATTTTTCTTTACTCCTGGCAAACGTTTGCCATTAACAATAGTCATTAGTATTTTCTGATTCTCAACTATTCATAATTTTAGGTATTCCTTTTTTAAACATCTTTTGGACGTTTCCTTGTCTCAAAAATATCAGCCCTTTAACTTTAAATATATCACTGAAGCGTTTAAATAATGAAAATATCACTGAAACAGGAGACAAAATAAAAATTTTTGTAGCAAGGCAAAAGCCTTAAAAAGGCTTAAAGATGTAATTTTTAAGACTTCGTAACTGTTTGATTTTTTACTACAGGAGGGTGCGATTCGACGATTCGGAAAATGAAACTTACAGTTCAAGGTATGACGTGTTATAACTCAAATTACAACGCTTGATCAGGTTTGCGCAATTTTAGGGCAAACAATTACGCTGTTTAAGACACCATTTTCTTGTTGACGAAGAACGATTCAAAAAAGTTAAAACTTGATCATCAAAATGCTGCATTTCCTATCTGTTTAATTCACTAGATAAAGTGATTCTGTACTATTATTAGCTAAGCTGTTTCAGCTTAGACTGGAAAGCTGTCAAATGTAAAAAATTGCATGAACAACAGTCTTTATGATGTAATCTCAAGCAGTTTACACTATACAGTGTCAGACGCGATTCATAAAGATATTTATCTTATAAAGATACACAGCGATCAACTAGGTGTTGTAATAGGAAAATGTGCAATAGAAATTTTTTTTAAGGGCATCTTTTAGTGGTTGATGACGTAGGGACATATTACGGTGTCTTTAGTTATAAATTCTGATGCATCATGCATCATCGACAAGAGTATTCTACCCCAAATATGATGTCTCATAAGTGCCGCTTAACGAGTATGTATTTTCACCTTTTTCTTGTGCTGACGTCATGTCTTAAATATGTTATTTTATTTCATGATAAACGTAGATATAACTTATTTCTATCGACTTATATAAGTATGTTTTTTTTATTTTTTCTCTATGCTGCAGACCCCCGCCTAATATTAACGACGAAGAACTGTTCCAATGGGTAAGGATTTATGGAGTGATTGCTTATAGAGTTCAGATTTTATTTTCAAGTGCAATACAGCACAAATGGTACTAGCATTGTCACTATAAACCCTATAGTACTAACTATAGGGTTTATATAGTTAGTAACTATAGGGTACTAACTAACATAAAGCCTATTGTACTAACTGTACCAAGAGTTCTAACATTGACATTAGGATATTTCTACAAAACAGATTAAAAAACACAGATGAATAGAACCAAAAAATAATACTGTATAGAAGCATGTCTTTGGCGACGATCTATCTAAATAGTTAAGATTATCGATAAAAACACAGTATTTCGAATTTATTCGAAACAACTTTCCCTGCAAAAAGGCTGTGTATTACTCTATCTTCAATGAACGTTTTTGCAGAATTAGCATTTTTCGGCTGTTGATTGTATCCGTTAGTTGAAAATTGAACTTTCCGTGTTTCTAAAGCCAGAGAACAACTTTTACTGAAAAGTACATTATACCCATAGGATATCAAGTTTACTGTCTTGAATGTTATATTTCACCCCAATTTTGTTTTTATGGCACAAAAGCTGGTCCAATCAATTTGCGATGCAATTAAAATGATACAGTCACGTGGTTTTGGGACAAGTATAGTTACAGGGTTGAATTTGACTGCATCTAATTGACTTTTTCAATTTTTCATAACACAAATTTGACAGTGGAGGACGAATAATCAATCTATAGAGCTAATGTTTTTCACGCATTTATTGCCATTTGTGTATATCGAAGCAATGTACTCGACAAATTTAATTCTATTGCTTTTTGTTTATATCACAAATCGAGTAAATTTGTTGTTCCATTTCGCTTTTTCCAGGCCAGGGAAAAAGCAAAATCGGGTCGTCGTCAACACAGCGCTGGAAATGTTAAGTGAGTCAAAATTTTAATTTTTTTCGTGCTCATAGCCTAGCAATCAATTAACGGTCAACAAATGTTACTGTTTGCCAAGATGTTAAAGAGTTTTCGATGAGTTATACAGGGCTGTACACACAGGTAGGTGAGATTCAACTTGACTTAGAAACATGGTTTAGAAACATTGACAATAAATTTGGTTTTTTCGAGCCACACATTTCGATCTTGCCAGCTGTATTTTCAATTCTGAGATGAGTCTACCGCAGCAATGCCTTTTCACGGATTTTGCCGAACAAAATACCAATGTTCTACACCTTTCAGAAAAGAACCAGTGAAATTCACAAAAAAACAAGATTTCCTTTTGAGCTGAATTTCGAATTTTTCAATTACCAACACTAAAGAAAATAAAATATGATCAATGAATCTTGAGCAGAAAAGCTCTTGAAAAAATTTATTGTTAATGATTTTCTTATCTTATTATTTTCTGCTATTTTTCACCTTCCTCTCTCTCTTTTTTTCGACAACTTTCCCCCTTATTTTCATTCCATACAAACATCTCAAAATTGAAGTTACCTTCACCTTAAAAATATTTTTCTCTCTTTTATGATTTATCATTATTAATTTATAAACTCTGCACCATAAACATCTGACCCATCATTGTCTTTTGATATTAGTAGAACCCATCAAATAAAACTATGAAATAAGTTTTTCTTTGCCTTGTAATTCTTACTTTAATTTAAAGCGTGAAAACTTAAGTAAAACATCTTACCAATGATTGACTTTTCCAATTTATGGAACCCATCTGATTTTGTTTCTATTGATGTTCTTTCAGTCAGTATATAAACTTTTCTGCAGTGAAAATTTTGCGATCCTTTCATTCCAAGATTCTGATTCAAATGTCGCGAGTTTTGAGTTTAAGCAAGTTTTATCGAAAACCATCTGATTGTGACGTAAAATTGATGAATTGCGTCACAATAGGATTGTGGCTATGGCTTTTGTACAGCGCTTTTTTAGCCGTGGATTATCAAAGTGTATTTAAAGAGTAACTCTCCTGTCTAATTTTGTGGTCTTTGATTACGATCATTGAAATGCCAGTATGATATGGGGCAGCTAATTGCTTCTTACTAGCCTCATTGCCATTATATAGCTTCAATACTTTATGGGCAATATAGTACAACGCAATTGACTGTATTAAATTCTTTCTTGTTTGCTGTGCATAACCATAGTTATCAAACCGACATATTTCCGATTTCAGTGCAACAATACCATTGTAATAATTTTATCAACATTTGCTACTTCCGATAACAAACTCCATATATTTCCAATGGATCTGCAATACTTCGATTATAACAACTTTTCCACGTTTGCTACTTCCAATAACAAACTCCATACATTTCCAATAGATCTGCAGTAGTTCGATTATAAAGAATTTTCCATATTTGCTACTTCCAATAACAAACTCCATAAATTTCCAATTGATCTGCAATACTTCGATTATAACAACTTTTTCCACGTTTGCTACTTCCAAAAACAAACACCATACATTTCCAATGGATCTGCAATACTTCGATTATAACGAATTTTTCAACGTTTGCTATTTCCAATAACAAACTCCATATATTTCCAATGGATCTGCAATAATACGGTTGTAACAACTTTTTCCATGTTTGCTACTTCAAATAACAAACTCCATATATTTCCAATGGATCTGCAATACTTCGATTATAACAACTTTTTCCACGTTTGCTACTTCCAATAACAAACTCCATATATTTCCAATGGATCTGCAATACTTCGATTATAACAACTTTTTCCACGTTTGCTACTTCCAATAACAAACTCCATATATTTCCAATGGATCTGCAATACTTCGATTATAACGAATTTTCCATGTTTGCTACTTCCAACAACAAACTCCATATATTTCCAATAGATCTGCAATACTTCGATTATAACGAATTTACCATATTTGCTACTTCCAATAACAAACTTCATACATTTCCAATGGATCTGCAATACTTTGATTATTACAACTTTTTCCACGTTTGCTACTTCCAATAACAAACTCCATATATTTCCAATGGATCTGCAATACTTCGATTATAACAACTTTTTCCATGTTTTCTTCTTCCAATAACAAACTCCATATTTTTCCAATGGATCTGCAATACTTCGATTATAACGAATTTACCATATTTGCTACTTCCAATAACAAACTTCATACATTTCCAATGGATCTGCAATACTTTGATTATTACAACTTTATCCACGTTTGCTACTTCCAATAACAAACTCCATATATTTCCAATGGATCTGCAATACTTCGATTATAACAACTTTTTCCACGTTTGCTACTTCCAAAAACAAACTCCATATATTTCCAATGGATCTGCAATACTTCGATTATAACAACTTTTTCCACGTTTGCTACTTCCAATAACAAACTCCATATATTTCCAATGGATCTGCAATACTTCGATTATAACGAATTTTCCATGTTTGCTACTTCCAACAACAAACTCCATATATTTCCAATAGATCTGCAATACTTCGATTATAACGAATTTACCATATTTGCTACTTCCAATAACAAACTTCATACATTTCCAATGGATCTGCAATACTTTGATTATTACAACTTTTTCCACGTTTGCTACTTCCAATAACAAACTCCATATATTTCCAATGGATCTGCAATACTTCGATTATAACAACTTTTTCCATGTTTTCTTCTTCCAATAACAAACTCCATATTTTTCCAATGGATCTGCAATACTTCGATTATAACGAATTTACCATATTTGCTACTTCCAATAACAAACTTCATACATTTCCAATGGATCTGCAATACTTTGATTATTACAACTTTATCCACGTTTGCTACTTCCAATAACAAACTCCATATATTTCCAATGGATCTGCAATACTTCGATTATAACAACTTTTTCCACGTTTGCTACTTCCAAAAACAAACTCCATATATTTCCAATGGATCTGCAATACTTCGATTATAACGAATTTTCCAAATTTGCTACTTCCAAAAACAAACTCCATATATTTCCAATGGATCTGCAATACTTCGATTATAACAACTTTTTCCATGTTTGCTTCTTCCAATAACAAACTCCATATATTTCCAATGGATCTGCAATACTTCGATTATAACGAATTTTCCATATTTGCTACTTCCAATAACAAACTCCATATATTTCCAATAGATCTGCAATACTTTGATTATAACGAATTTTCCATATTTGCTACTTCCAATAACAAACTTCATACATTTCCAATGGATCTGCAATGCTTCGATTATTACAACTTTTTCCACGTTTGCTACTTCCAATAACAAACTCCATATATTTCCAATGGATCTGCAATAATACGGTTGTAACAACTTTTTCCATGTTTGCTACTTCCAATAACAAACTCCATATATTTACAATGGATCTGCAATACTTCGATTATAACGAATTTTCCATATTTGCTACTTCCAATAACAAACTCCATACATTTCCAATGAATCTGCAATACTTCGATAATAACGAATTTTCCACATTTGCTACTTCCAATAACAAACTCCATATATTTCCAATGGATCTACAATACTTCGATTATAACGAATTTTCCACATTTGCTCCTTCCAATAACAAACTCCATATATTTCGAATGGATCTGCAATACTTCGATTATAACGAATTTTCCAAATTTGCTACTTCCAATAACAAACTCCATATATTTCCAATTGATCTGCAATACTTCGATTATAACAACTTTTTCCATGTTTGTTTCTTCCAATAACAAACTCCATATATTTCCAATGGATCTGCAATACTTCGATTATAACGAATTTTCCATATTTGCTACTTCCAATAACAAACTCCATAAATTTTTCTAATGAATCTGCAATACTTCGATAATAACGAATTTTCCACATTTGCTACTTCCAATAACAAACTCCATATATTTCCAATGGATCTGCAATACTTCGAATATAACGAATTTTCCACATTTGCTCCTTCCAATAACAAACTCCATATATTTCGAATGGATCTGCAATACTTCGATTATAACGAATTTTCCAAATTTGCTACTTCCAAAAACAAACTCTATGTATTTCCAATGGATCTGTAATACTTCGATTATAACAACTTTTTCGATGTTTGTTTCTTCCAATAACAAACTCCATATATTTCCAATGGATCTACAATACTTCGATTATAACGAATTTTCCATATTTGCTACTTCCAATAACAAACTCCATACATTTCCAATAGATCTGCAATACTTCGATTATAACGATTTTTCCATATTTGCTACCTCCAATAACAAACTCCTCTAGGCCAATATTTCAAACATTTTAATTGATTTTTTAGAGAATTTTAATTTTGATATTTTCTCAACCTTCTCTTGTGCTTTTTAAAAGATAGATTTTTTGTAATCTTCGTTACTAGATTAAATTTAGTTATAAAATAAGTTTTTCTTTGCCTTGTAATTCTTACTTTAATTTAATGTGTGAAAACTTTCTCATTAAGTAAAAGATCTTACCAATGATTGACTTTTGCCATTTATGGAACCCATCTGATTTCGTTTCTATTGATGTTCTTGCAGTCAGTATATAAACTTTTCTGCAGTCAAAATTTTGCGATCCTTTCATTCCAAGATTCTGATTCAAATGTCGCGAGTTTTGAGTTTAAGCAAGTTTTATAGAAAATCATCTGATTGTGACGTAAAATTGATGAATTGCGTCACAATATGATTGTGGATATGGCTTTTGTACAGCGCTTTTTTAGCCGTGGATTATCAAAGTATATTTAAAGAGTATCTCTCCTGTCTAATTTTGTGGTCTTTGATTACGAACATTGAAATGCCAGTATAATATGGGGCAGCTAATTGCTTCTTACTGGCCTCATTGCCATTATATAGCTTCAATAGTTCATGGGCAATGCAGTACAACGCAATTGTCTGCAATAAATTCTTTCTTGTTTGCTGTGCCTAACCATAGTTATCAAACCGACATA